GTGCAGGTTTGTCGCACATTGAAAAATTGAGAACAAGAGAAAGGCCGGACAATAACTTTTTTTTCTTCTTTGTAAGTTGGAAAACTTTTAAATGTACTTTTTATTAAGTGGCACATGTGGGACTCTCAGCGGGGCCAACTTAACTTATGAAGATAAGTCAGTTCTTTTTTTTTAAGTTAATTACTCTAATTAGGACAATTAAAAGATTGCCTCTTTGCATTATGAAAGCAGAGTGGAATTAGCAGATGCTTTAATTGTGAGATTAATTCATTTCCTGGTTGATTGGAGAGGCAGCGAATGGGAACTCCTCATTACTCTGTGTGTGACTCTGTGTGTGTGTACGTGTGTGTCCATGGCTATTCTATAATCCTGAATGAGGACTGAGACCCTTCATCCTCCCTGGAGGACTGTAGACCTGATAAACTACACCTGGGATGAGCGCACACACACACACACACACACACACACACACACACACACACACACACACACACACACACACACACACACACACACACACACACACAGAGGTGAGTCTCTGCTCATTCCCTTCGTGGTGTGATAACCCAGTCTTTCATTACTCTTCTCCATCTCTCTCTCTGTCCCCTTCTCTGTCCTTTTCTTATTCCTCTTTTACTTAGATCCCTTTGCTTTTCACTGTGGACTTGTAAAACTGTTCAGGGAGAGACAGGTCGTGTGGTGAACTTTCTTCTATTCTCAGGATGGCACAATCCTGCTCTGGTCCTGTTGCTTCCAAGAGTATATGTATGAAATATCATTTGTTATATGCATAATTTACTAAACTTGTGTGCTAAACATTATCTTTCTGATATTGTGCTCAAGCCCATTTTGTATAATACTTACCCCACGTGTCTCAAAGCTTCTCAAATCCGCTCTAATGCCTCAGTTTATCGACTCTATATCTCCTCATTCAAGTTCTGCAAAGGCTTAAGAATTTAAGGAATAAGGGCTTTTACCTCACTTCACCTCATCATCATGATTTGCAGCGATAGCGCATTTTGGAGGTTCTGATGTTGCTGATACGCAGATAAAACTCCTGTAGTTCTCCTCAGGCACATCCCAGCTGCAGACGTAAACTCAGCATACTCACTCGGGTCCTGAAGAAGCTGGCTGGCAATGGAGACCCTTCTCCTCTCGCCCCCAGAGATCCCTGGGAAAACACGACCTCCAATAACACTGTGGGCCACATGACTAAGGCTCAACTCGGCCATCACCGCCGACACCTGCAAGGGAGCCAGAGGTCAAGGGTCAGGTGACTACTACTAACAAGTTAGCTGACAAGGGCCTGCTAGTACGTATTATTATTAGAATTAATACTTTCTCCTTCTAGCTACTCATATAAATATTTATGATATTTGGTCTTCTGTCAAGTCAGTTTAAAACATGATTATGCAATATCTACATAAAGGGATATAAAGTAATATATTTCCATTATTGAGTTTGAAAATAAGGACATATGTAAACCGAATAAAATTGACTGTCAAGTTTCTTGAAAGCTGCTTTGACATTAGAATCATCATGTGATAAACATATCAGCTGCATATGTTAAGTAGCTGTAACAGAGCACTGATGAAGCAAAGAACCCTTTTTTTTAACATGTAGATACACGTGTGCTTAAGACACAGGGATTACAAGGAATGTCCAACTCATTTAACCTTTGAAATAATGTTTAAATCTCTTTTACATATTCTTTGTCATCCTAATGCCAGACATAACTTTCCTAGAACTATGTGGGACTAAACTATATTTGGCTTACATACTCTTGCCAAATTCACGGCAGAATATCACATTGCTCTAGAGCGAGAACAAAAGCTTGTTATATATCTTCTAAATTTAGGTTGGGCATAACCATTAGCATTGATGATGCTGAAAACCTTGCTTTCGTTGATATAAAGAGATACACATTCTGTTTCCTCTCTGGTTCTGGCCTTTTGTCTTTTCCCCAGACAAACCAAATGTCAAGTTTAGCTAAAGAAAAGTAAGAGAGGGGACAGAGCAGACGATGCTCTCAAGAGTCACCTTTTTCTGGATGGCTTTGGCCGAGTGTTTCCGCAGGGCCAGCTGGGCTGTGTACGTCAGAGTCTCCTCCACTGTCAGATAACTCAACAAGTTATCACTCTGAAAGCGACAGAGAGAGGGAAAAGAGAGTAATGATGAAAAGAAACAACATGAAACACAAAGGGGATACAGACCTATATCTCATAGGTCTTTGATACTTATTGAGGATAAATTGTAAAAAATGATTTTGGAGGCCTTGTAGTAGAATCTTCCTCCATTTTTACATAGAGATTTACAGAGATTTGTCTGAAGACTATTTATCTATATCCTTAGAATTAGAAAAGTGTCGATTTCAGAATTTATCACACACATACAGTAGTATACTGTATACTTGTATGTTCACATATGCGTGTGCAAGCCAACTGTAATCTACCTTTGCCACAGACATGTGCACACACACATACAAACGCACACGCAGACATTACTTGAACCTCATGAACCTGCTGCCTGCCTCAATTAACACGTGGCACCTCCCAGTCCCACTTCTCCTCAGTCTCTCATCTGAATGACTTTAATATCAGGAGCTCATATCACCTCCTCATCTTCAGCTTAGCAGCGGGAGTTAATGACGAGGCTTAGAGAGCAGGGGGGGCTGCTATCAGCGAGAAGAGAGAGATGATTTGAAAGGAAGCAAGGCCAGTTTTAAGCCAGTGTTTTTAATTCAGGCTTTGGATACACTTGAGCACCTCTCATTGAGAGATTAAGTATATGAGGAGGCTATCAAGGGTCTTAAGTTAATTTCATACAGAGGCCGGGGCAGCCTTTCAGGAGTTTTTGAAAAATGGTGTGTGTTCATTTAGTTTTTTTTTTACTGGTGGTTAGTAACTCAGGCAACTTAAATACATACAAACCGTCTGCATGTGGCCGCTCACATGTGATACTGTAGGGCAAAGTTTAACCTGATGTCAGTGTGTGATGAGAACTAGGGTAAAGTGAAATGTGCATGTGATTACGTGCTGATAGTTTTCAAAACTCTTTTTAGTCTCTTTATTAATGTGTTGGCAATATTTCATTTAACACTACAGCTTTAGTGTACAAGTATAGATAATGAGATGCAGCAGCTTGGAAGAGGTATCTCACAACATCTTGTTCCAGGTACATGATTAGAAAAAAACACAGTAGCCTGTTTTATTTTCAGTTGTTTTGTCTCATTGGGGTAGTTCTTAAGACTTAAGTTTGAAACATCAAGAACAAACCAGTTTAATTTTTGAGATGAAAAATAACTGGTGTTTTCCGCTGTGCTGTATGTGTGTTACCTGCAGCACATAGGAGAAGCAGTCCTGATACTCTTCTCTCTTAAGTTTCCTGCCGTTAATGAAGACCTCCCCCAACAGTGTCCCACGGTTTCCAATCCTCCCTGAGATGGCATCCAGTAACGTTGTCTTTCCTGAGCCTTTACAATGCAAACACACACACACACACACACACACACACACACGCACACGCACACGCACACGCACACGCACACGCACACACACAGATAAATTCATTTGTAAAGACCAGATATATCTGGTCATAGATTTAAGAGCATTTTAAATTTTTAGGGTTTTATTTTAGATTGGCCAACAGAAGGATTATCCAAACACATTCTTCACTCTTTCTTTTATGGTTCTGTCCATTTTATTTTTGAAGAAAGAGTGTTGCCTCATTATTATTAATAGCTTTCTCTGTGACCACACTGGCCTTGAACTGGGCTCCTGAACAAGTGACCACTTTCAAACTCAGAAATACATAAATCATATCTTGCATTCAGTGTCTAATACCGAAACCAATCAGAACTATCTCAGAGCCATTTCCATTAGAAAATGCTCTTTATTGCAAATATCAGATTTATTTTAACTACTTCATTTTTTGTCCAGTTTAAACACTTTTGCCTTTTGGACTGAGCTGAGTTCAAACCTGAATTGCCAAGTATGCCCATGATCTGCCCACTGTCTACGTGGAAGGAGACATCGTTGAGGATCTGACGAGTCCATTGCTTCCTGTAAGAGGGTAAGTCCCACCATGGACCCACACGCTCACTGCAACACACACACACACACACACACACACACACACACACACACACACACAGACACACACACACACAGACACACACACACACACAGGCAGCATTTTTATCATTCTCAGAACAGAATCAATCCCCACTGTGAAACTGGTCGTCATTTGTTTTAGAAATATACATATATATGTACACACACACACACACACACAGTATCTACAATCAACAAGATGTTTCATTACACTACAGACGGTAGACAAACAGTTGAAGTGTCCATGTAGTACACATGTATTTTTCTGCTATTTCATTAGCAATGAGAGTCAGACCACCTAATTAAAGATAATTTGACCCAAACTTTTGATTGATAAACTAGTTGATTCTCAGATTCTGTTTCTGCAGCATTTACCTGACTGTGTAGGAGATGTTGCTGACACTGAGACAACAGGAGGGCTGTGATCGCTCGTCTCGGCCGTCCTTCCATATATCCCTCTTCACCTCTGACACAAACTTAAAGGACTCTCTAACTTTGGTCCCGTTCTCTGGCTCCGCTGCCTCCATTGAATAAAATCTGTTCATGTCTCTGGCCAGTCTACTGCTCCAAACGACAAGTCTATCAAGTCCTTCTCAGAGCAGTTTGTTCATATCTCTGTGCCCATTCCCCTACACAGAGCAGCAGTGTGAGTCTCTCAGGAACCATAAACACACAGTGAATGTTGCGTTATCTTAGAGAACTTTGATCTGGAGTTGTATAAAGAAGAAAAAAACACACATGCCGAGTAGACTGACTGGCTGTCAGTCCCACCTCAGTCCTCAAATCGTGCGCTGCTACCAGAACAGCTATGACGGAGCAGATGAAGAACTGACATGGCATGAACTTGGACGCCTTGAGAGAGAAGGCTTGTGAGCTGGACTGGAGTCAAACTACAGAGCAGGGGGAAGAAACAGTGAACAACAGAGCAACAACGGCACATACCCTGAGAGAGAAAAAGAGGGGATCTTACCAGAAGAGGAAAAAGGGGGCATTGACCTCTTGACCTTACAAACATCAACCAGCAACTTGCATCATCATGGAAACAGACATAGACAACGGCATCAATTACAAAAAAGGCTCCTCGCAGGTCAGTCTGTGACATGGGATCAAACGTATCATTTTTAGTCCCTTGAAGGCAAATATACTGAGAAACTTTTGTTGAATCAAAACCATGTAAACGTTCTGTTGACTCTTCTTCTTGAAGCTTCTCACTCTGACTGCTACATAATTAACTGCTAATAATTTTATTCATTGAACTTTGTGGTGCCTGAATCTGATTATAATGTGGGTATGATAGTCAAAAGATCCCAGTGTGATTGAGAGCATTTTCACAATGTGTTTTTGTTGCTGGGAGTTTGTTAATGTCATTTAACATGGTAATTTATTATTTCCAAACACAGTTCCCCAGTTTGATCAAATACCTAAGTAATTTATATCTTATCTAGAAAATATACAATATTTTCATATGAATGAATTTTACTATGAATGCTTTAGCTGTATATTTTTGTGCTTCTATTTGGCTTTAATCACAATTGATATGAAGTCTGGTTTATCATTGGAAAAATATGGTTGCAGTAGGTTATACTCTCCTATTTCTGTTACCACATCTGGCGAGAACCAGTCAGAACAGCTGCATAAAGAATGACAACGTTTTGAATGTCTGAACTACAAACATTTTCAGAGATACTCTGCAGGCTAATGTGCTAAAGAAAAAGCAACCAGGAGTGATCCTTTACATGACATCTACAATATCAACATTGAAATATAATGTACAGTATGTACAGTAGATTTGGTGTGAGCATGTGCTCCGCGGTGACTCATGATTATACTTTTATTGTATTGGAGAAATTTAGGGATTATGTAATGATAATACTTGGATCATTTTCAAATGGACTCTGGAACCACAAAAGGTCTCAGGCAACTATTTGCATTTACAAACACACAAGCAGATGCATGCCAATACATGATATTACACACACGCACACACAGACACACACAAGCTTTCACATGCTCGTGCATGCACAGTGATCATAAAACATATGAGTCATTAAAATTGTCCAATAAATGAATTACTAAAGTTCAAATTAAAGACTGTAGATACTATAGCACTGTTAAGATTGATTTTCACTGAGTGAAGTATATAAGCAAAAAAAAAAAATTGTAAAAGAGTTTTATCTGCACCTTTACTTACATGGTTTCTGTTGCAGTTTGTCTTTCAGTAATTACACAGATCCAACTAAAACTTCAAATGAGTGCATCTTGCCTGTATGAAACTAATTGACCTGTCTGCTACTCTTTAACAGCATCAAGACACAGAGTTATTCTCAAGTGAAGAAGACAGCAGCCTCTACTTCACCTACAGCGGAGGGTGCAACGAGCTGGAGGTCAACAACCTGCACTATGAGGTAACTGACTGATACCTGCTCTGCTTTCGTATGCAGTTATCTTTAGCTTTTAACTGTTTTAACCTCTTCATGTGTGTGCATGTTTGTGTGTATCGTACTTGGCATGTGCATGCTGTATGTGCACATGGTGTAAATGTGTGTATGTTTGTGCTTGCAGGTAGACACAGCAGCTCAGATCCCCTGGTATGAGAGGTTATCAGAGTTCAAACTGCCGTGGGAGGTAAAGGGAAACAAGCAGACAGCCATCAACAAGCTCAGCCTCCGGGTCCACAGCGGTCAGATGCTGGCTGTCATCGGCAGCTCAGGTGACAGACACACAACACAAACACATAGCTTGTAAGCATTACTGTGTCTAATCAAAGTAATGGATGTAAGGGCCTCCTTGGATAATGTCATTCCTCCACCTGCCTTTCCACTGTCAAGGTCCTGTCAGCAGCATTGTTCAAATGTACAATTAAGCCCTTGTTTTCAAACTGCAATGTGGAGTAGCTGCATGAAGTGGTGGAAGAAGGACTCAGATTCGCGACTTACATACAAGTGCCAACACCACAATGAAAAAATACTCTATCACAAGTTAAAACCACAAGATAAATCTGAAGGGTCATGGGATGATTCACGGGGTTGGAACAAAGAAAAAAACAAAAAACAAAGATCTGCTTTATAAGTTTGAATTATATTAAAGAGATTTATCTCTTTGGTCCTCAGTCATTTAATTAAAAGTACCTTTAAAAAAAAAGTATTAGCTGAATAATAGCTACATTCCACTGTAAAACTTGTTACAGAGCAGAGATTAAAAAAAACATTTTTTATTTTATAGAAAAAACAAAAGTGAGACCTGCTTTAAATGCGTAATCATCTTCTCTCAGGTTGTGGTAAAACATCTTTGCTGGACATATTAACATGTCGGGATGAGGGCGGCACGACGACGTCCGGTCAGATTCTGATCAACGGGAAGCCCAACACGCCGCATCTGGTGAAGAAAAGCATCGCCCATGTCCGCCAAGACGACCGCCTCCTTCCTCACCTCACCGTCCGCGAGACTCTCGCCTTTGTTGCCAAACTGAGGCTCCCCACCCACTTCACACAGGCTCAGAGGGACCAGAGGGTAACATTAAGTTCAATAAATAAACGAACTCAAAGTGGCATGACACATCAAATAGTAAATGATCATCTGTTCTGTGTGCTGTCAAAATTAGACCATTTAAATAACATGTGACAAACCATGTTTTCTATGTTTCCTGTCACAGGTGGATGATGTCATCGCAGAGTTGCGGCTGCGACAGTGTGCACACACCAGGGTGGGAAACGACTATGTGAGGGGTGTGTCTGGAGGGGAGAGGAGGAGAGTCAGTATAGCTGTCCAACTTCTCTGGAACCCCGGTGAGAGACAGCCTCTTAAACTGTAGATCTCCCTTTTAGCTTTTATTTTGAAGTTTAATCCTTTAAGCCTGTCTGGCCTTTTTGGGTGTAAGACTTCTTGTGGAACTAGGTCTGTATCTTAATCATAAAATCACAGATTCAGATGCTTAGTCATATTTATCAGGCAGATTCTCGTCAGCTGTTCAGTTATTGTCAGCTCTGTCATTTACTGTACGTGTCAACCTGTGTGACCTATAAGAAAGGAAAGTAATAGTAGCAGTTAGGTCACGCAGATGTAGACATTTTGCTGTTGCCTGTATTTGCTGAACTTTACAAAAGCAAAACCTCTACAGATTTTCCTCTACAGATTAAAATGTGTGCCCGATATTACACCAGTCTGGATCCACTACTCCCGAATCAGCAGTGATCACCAGAGTCAGGACAGGAGGGGACAATTCAGACCAGCAGGCAGAGAGTCAAGTCTTTTTATGGACTGTTGAATTGGTCTTTTTTACATTCCAGGTATTTTGATCCTGGATGAGCCCACATCAGGACTGGACAGCTTCACAGCCCACAACCTGGTGATCACACTGTCCCGCCTGGCCCGGGGAAACCGCCTGGTCCTGCTGTCGGTCCACCAGCCTCGATCTGACATCTTCCAGCTCTTCGACCTCGTCGTCCTGCTGTCGTCGGGTTCAGCCGTTTACTGTGGCGCTGCTCGTGACATGGTGCCTTACTTCACCGCTCTGGGATACCCCTGCCCACGATACTGCAACCCCTCCGACTTCTATGGTTAGTGTGTGTGTAGAAAGCTGTCAACACGGCACTGAGTGGTGCTTTTATTCCAAGACCCTTGAAAGTTTGAAAGTTATCACTCCCACACTCAATCCAAAAAACAGGTTGAAGATTCTTCTTTATAAACCTTTTTTTTTACTTTTTCAAGCCTCATTTTGTTGGTGTGTGTGTGTCTGTGTGTCTGTGTGTGTCCAGTTGATTTGATCAGTATAGACCGACGCAGTCCGGAGCAAGAGGCTGAGTGTTTGGAGCGGGCCAGAGTTCTGGCTGAGCACTTTATGGAGAAGGTCAGAGACACAGACGATCACATGTGGAAACCAGCCGGGACCAACACAGCAGCACAAACTGAAAGGTAGCTGTGTGTTTATGTGTGTATATGTTTGTGTGTCTGTTTAAGTTTGGCTCCTTTTTGCTTCTCTGCATATTTGAGCTGAGAGACTGTGTCAATTAATTGATTAGTCAATGCCAGAAGATTAATTGGCAATTATTTTTGATAATCAGTTAATCATTCATTTTTTTTACATTATATATTCGGGTTTTGGACTGTTAGTTAGACAAAAGAAGTAAGTGGAATATGTTGTCTTGAGCTCTGGGAAACAGACTTTATCACTGTTTTCCGACATGTACTACCTGGTGCTACAGGGCATTCTTGGGTTGCTCCTCTTGTTCTATGGTTACAGTTTTTACCAAGCCAGCTGTATTTTCTGATACCGAGGCTAAAAAAATCTCTAAATTTAAGTTGTAGCTGTGGAAACTCTACCAGAGTAACTCATCCACTGCTTTCTTGCCTGCATCTCCTGCAGCCCTCAGCAGCCCAGCAAGGCAGGAGGAGAGGAAGTAATCACAATTTCCCAGCAAAAAAACAGACTGCCGGGCAGACTTCACCAATTTACCATCCTCATCAGGTAAGAACACACACACACACACACACACACACGCGCACACACACACACACACACACACACACACACACACACACACACTCAAACATTCAAAAGCGACACTGATCTCTCTTTTTTTCTCCCTCAGACGTCACATGTACAATGACTTCAGGGACCTGGTCACCTTATTGGTCCACGGCTTCGAGGCCCTCCTCATGTCACTGCTGGTTGGTTGTCTGTACTACGGGGCCGGAAAAGAGCGTCTGTCCATCCAGGACACGGTGGCCCTCCTCTACATGATCGGAGCTCTCACCCCGTTTGCTGTGGTGCTGGACGTCATAGCTAAATGTGAGTGATCAAAGCCATTCAGGAGCATGAAAGTAGAGGTCAAGTCTGCAAATCATTTAAGTAGTTAATGAATTTCTCATTCAAATTCTGACTTATGCGACTTCAACTACAGTCAAGGCTGATCTTCAGTCTTAGCATCTGAGCACATAAAGGACTGGGTCACAGGTTCAAATTTCAGTTTAAAGCAAGTCCAGGTTTAAGTGATTATGTTTTGAAATGTGATGTACAGCCAAAATCATTACAGTTTTTCTCCATTGTTTTGCCCAGAAAAGCCCAGGTTTGGGAATAGATGACACAAACACTTTAGTTTTCTTTTGCAAAATGGCAAAGGCACGCTCCAAAAGATCCTGTGTTCTCCAAACTCTCCATACAATCATCAATGTCACATACTGGTGTCTAAAAAAAGAAAATACTGCAATAAAAACCTCCCCATAAAAGAAACCTTCACAAATAAACATCAGTTCAAAGATTTTTTATCCCTAACTATTGTAATTTTCTCCCTGATGAGACACTGTGGATAAAGTAGTTTGTGTGACATATCCAACCTTGAGAGAGAAGTGTGACCTGGACATGAAATGTCATAGTATTTGTTCATTTGATAATGCCACGCTGAATAAAAATCATTCACTTCCAAAGAAAGAGAAAAGAGAGACCATGGGTACTGATGCATTGGCTTAGAGTTTTATATTTCTTCCTATTATTGCACAGTGAATGATTTTCTATATAAAAGTTGTATGAAAAGGAAAAAAAAGCAGTGTGAAAAGAACCAGAAATCATTCAAAGTTAGGTGAATACATTTGGAGCTGTGATCGTAGAGAACGTAGTCGGCAGAAGTGCAGTGAATCAATGGAGAAAAACTGTAACAAAACAAACCAGCAGGATGTGAAATAGTTCCGAACAGCGAGGCGAAGATATTAAAGCCAAAGTTATCACTAAATTATCATTTGGATGTGTGATAGAGTGGGACACAGAGTTCTTTAACCCTGAGTTATATGATATTCAATCACTCATCATTAAAAGATAAGTTCAAGTCAGGTCAAGGTAATGTGACAACTAAAGTTATAAAATTGATTCCAAGTTAGCTTCTGACTCTGAGTTAGATGCTGCCTACAAGCCTAATTCTACACAATCCAAGTTAACAATAAATAATCCATTATAAGTCTAGACGGTAACTGTTCTCTGCAAATGAATCTTCATGTTCAAATAATCCTGGAATTTTCCTACAAAAGACATTGTGCAGTGCATTCATATTTGATGCGAATAAGAGACTTTGTGTTTTTGGCCTGGGATACCAGAGGTTATAATGCTGTACCTACTGTATGTACTCATCAGACAAATTGAATGTCGTGCACAGGTCACACAGAGAGAGCCATGCTCTACCACGAGCTGGAGGACGGCATGTACTCTGTCACCTCCTACTTCTTCGCCAAGGTAAACCACAGTGATAAAACTGCATGTCCAGTAGGGGTCAGCTTCGCTCCATGCTGGAGTCACACTTCAGTGTGACATACCTCCCCAGTGATGTACACTACTCTCATGTGGCACTGGGAAATATGATGTACTGTATGTGTCTGCATGCAAACACGCCAGCCAGGATCAACACTGAATACAGTATGTGTTTTTTTATCAGGTCCTGGGGGAGTTACCAGAGCACTGTGTGTTCACCTTGGTCTACGGTCTGCCCATCTATTGGCTGGCCGGGCTTAACGAGGCTCCGGACCGTTTCCTGCTCAACTTCCTACTGGTGTGGCTGATGGTTTACTGCAGCCGAGCCATGGCTCTGTTTGTAGCTGCTGCACTGCCTACCCTGCAGACTTCAGCCTTCATGGGCAATTCATTGTTCACTGTCTTCTATTTGACTGGAGGATTTGTCATCAGCCTTGAGAATATGTGGCTTGGTGAGGAGACAGATGAATTGTTCCTAGTTAATTAATTAACTGACCTTGGGAGCCTAAAGAAAAAGTATGAGATGCTTACAGCTGTGTGTGTTTTTGACTCCCCAGTGGCCTCGTGGCTCTCGCACGCCTCCTTCATGCGTTGGGGTTTTGAGGGCATGCTGCAGGTGCAGTTCAGAGGAAACAAGTACCCTGTCAGCATTGGAAACTTCACAATCAACGTTGACGGCATTCACGTGAGTTAAATACACTGTCATTTATCAGACAGATTCATATTACTGAATTCCTGGACAGTTTCATTTCACTCTGTAAATCTTGGAACCGCAGAATCAAAGCACACTCCGTTTGAAAATGAATCTCTGGTTTCACCGTTTTGGTGGAGAAAGGCATAATTTTCCATTTAATGGAAACATTCATTGATTTATCCAAAGAAATAACTGTTGACAACAGCAGTATTTGTTACTAGTTTTGACAAGTTTTGAGTGTTAAACTATGATTTATTCACATTTACAGATGTTTTTCTAAACTTTAACTGTGTTTGTGTCCTATTTATCCACAGATATTAAATGTTATTGAGGCAATCTGACAGCAAACTTTAGGACAGTCTTGTAACTCAGCTCACAAACCAACACGTTCATCATCTTTCTCATCTTCTAACCCTCTCTCTTTGTCTCTCAGGTGGTGGAGGCCATGAACATGAACCAGTACCCTCTGTTCTCATGCTATCTGGTCCTGCTGGCAGTCTGTCTAGTTTTCATGGGGCTCTATTACGTGTCTTTAAAATTTATAAAACAGAAGTCTAGTCAAGACTGGTGAAAACATCTGGACCAGTTTCAACAATGAGACAAACCCCATCTGAAATCACACACAAGAGGAGAGTGTTTAAGAAGCATTTTTTTTTCAGCATTGAAATGAAGTAATTTGGGTTGTAGTTCGACTGGTTCGACACTGAGCTTTCCATCATTGGTTTTACAGTTCCTGTCAGGATGTTTCATAGTGAAAAAGTGCTTAATTCAGGGGAGAAAAGCAAGATACAAAAAGTCTTGATGTATGGATGAATTAATTCAGCAATCACTCTTTTATTTGACTTATCAAAACAATCTCAATATGCACTCAGTGTTTACACTTCAAATATGGGAATAATTAGTTAAAAAGAGTTGTAAGCACTTTGTGTTGGGTGGCGCAGTACCACTGTCTGCTGCTGGATGGCAGCAGAGCACTGCAGTAACACCAATGTTAAAATGACAGATTTTTTTTCCCTCTCTCCCTCTCTTCTCTGTCTTGGCAAATGATTAGAGTGCCACTTTGGCAGATATCCATCTGCAGCTTTTGCTTGTTCCATTTTCAATCTTCTTTTTCCTACAGCTTTATCTTTTTTGTATATGTAAGGTTATTAAGCTTAACAATGTGTGTGCCAGTATAGGGAGCACTGAAAAAAAGCCTAGTAGAGATTTAGTAAGTCACACTCAGAAGAAAAAGAGCTTGTACTTGTTGTGTCCTCATAGATTGAAGATTATGTAAGCTGTGTGTTTTTGCACTGGTGCAAAAGCCTGATAAATGTTTTAGCGAGATGGTTTGCGTCCAAATTAGTAAAGTGTTAAATCAAATTGCTCCACTGGAGTGTTTATTTTTGTTTTCATTATCTCTGCCATCCTTTGGACTCATCTTTCAGTTACATAGTCTAGTCACTTGTAGCTGTTCGGTTTCACAACAATGGATGTTATTGATAATGTGATTATACTTTACATCCTGATGGTTCATCACAGCAAAAAACTTTTTTACATGTACGAGATTCTGTTGTAAAACTCATGTTCCCTGATGATGATCACTTGTTTTTAAAGAGCATGAACTCTGCTGTGCTCTGCTCTTCCGAGTCCATAATTATGAATACAATTTTACCAATCCGTGTCAACTGCACTCATTTTTATAAACAATATTTTTTATTTAGAAAAATAATCGCATGACAAGATTGTGGGTTCTGTATCCCTGGTTCATAAAAAAAGTTCCCAATGACCATGTTACATCTTAATGTACTCTGCTACCCAGACTGACCCTCTGACGTCAGCTAATACACAATCTTCTTGGGAAAGAACCAGTGTGTGTGTTATCTAAGTGCTGCCTCAGTCTGGGTCAAGAACAGCTTGTGTTACATGAAACAGGAGAATCTGAGGCCGGTACTGGAGAGCAAAAAACCCCCCAAAAACTACACAGTACGCAGCAGAATGGCTCCTGTTGGTGTTATTTTACTACATATAACATGTCATCACTAATGCTCATGCTTTAACACTTGTATATGTTGTAACTGATTACAACATTATCTCAAAAAGGAGCTAATTATTTATTTACTGAAATCATGACTCATATAACAATTTGACTTTTTCGCCCAACAGAACAGTATGTAATTCACAGTTTTAGTGCAGTATTTGACAGGCAGAGTCACAGCAGGGACAGCACAAGTGTAATTAACTGAGCCATCATTAGTGATATTAGTTACACCTGTGCTTTACCTCCTGCCCTGAAAAAAAGCTTAACTGTAGCAGTGAATACAGGACACATTTAAACCACATGAAGACTGGATTCCTAACTTTGTTTATTAGCATAAATACTTCTGTACATTCTCAACATCTTCATCGTCAACATTATCAATTTCACAGCGGACAGAGTCGAACATCCAACAGATACAACACATAATACTCAAAATTTCAGCTCAAACAACTTATATAAAAAAAAAAGCAAGAGACAAAGGAAGAAACGAGTGGGATTTGGAAGGAGGTAAGAGGAGAGGAGGATGAATCTTTTTATTCCTCTGCTGTCGTCTGGGCTTTGCCAAGTTTCTCTTTCAGCTTGTTTGCATAAAACTTGAAGGACTCCTGGAAAGAGAAACAAAGAGAAACGACTTGGCATGAAACATGTTCCAAACAAACAGCGTAAGTGCTCACCTGCCTCACACCTGCCTCTATCTCGCCTCTTTCCAAAAGTAAGCAGCAGTGGAGCCCTCCTGGGTCTGTCTAAATAGTCTCCACTCGCCAACCAGGTTGTCTCGTTTCATCTTTAAATCCCCATTAATACACAAATAAGGGATTTGTAGCACACTCCCCGAACACACACTTTTCGCTCTCTGCCTCTGTTCCCGGCTAATTAATCAGTGTTTTGATCCAGACAAAGTGTTGTGGTGGGTGTTTTCTGAGACGAGGGGGGTGGGGGGTGGGGTGGGAGCTTTTCTGCAGATAACACCAGCTCCTGACAATGTACGTTTGCTTATTAATGTAGTAATTAATGCCGATAAATAACTATGTCCACGATAGAAGAAGAGACAGGAATTGGGACACCTTTAAAGGGTCAGTTCACCCAAATTACAGAAACATTTTCTCTCTAGATTTGATTTGATCTAGATTTTGAAATCTCCATCTCTGAGATTTCAGCCTGAACCAAAAACACAGTGGAGCTGAATGAAATTTCATCTGTGATGTTCAAAGCAATAGAAAAGAAGAAAAAAAAAATCAACAGCTGCTTTTCTTTCCAGAAACAACAATATTTTGGTGTTTTTATAATAAATCTCTCACTTTTTTCAGGTTTCTTTGTTCAAGTTTTCCTGAATAAATTCAGGAAACTACAGAAACTACAGCTCTAAGTCATAAATTGCTTGTTTTAACTTCCCTGTTCATGAGGAGCTACATTCGTGACGTGGGACCATTAGCATTATTAGACCCCACATTGATATATACCTGTCATATATCTTTATATACCTGTTCCGCTCTTGTTTCATTCACAACGATGTTACTCAAGATTAAAAAGAAGAAACTCAACACTCTGGATCTTCAGGCCCTGCTGTTGGAAATCAGTGGATGATAAAATAACAACGCTTTGATATGAAGCTAAAAAAAAAAAATGTTTGTTCACGTTTGATTTCAAGGTTTAAAAAAGGAAAGGAAGTGTGACAGTCACGGTGGTCAATGAGGGAATATCTAACATTAGGCTACAGGTGATGTTAACAGTCGGGAAGATGCTGAGGCAGCTGTTTTTGGATGTTTCCAACCAAGATTAAAAAAAGCAATTACACACTTTATGTCAAACGTGCTTTTTTCCTGCAGTGAGGAAAGGCAGACTATCTGTACATGTCTTGTCTAACCACTTGTACAACTGCTTCGTACCTTAGAGAAAATTCTAAAGACACAACCTCTATATCGATGAAGAGAGGGAGAACAACAAGGAGAGGAGGGTTTCTACCTGAGATGTGTTTGTAGAAACTTCTGAATACCAGGACTATTCACCTTTCCCTCTCCTTGCAACTCCTCTGCCTTGCCTCTGCTTATAAAAACCCAGCAATCACTTAACTATCCTGACATTCAGTGAATAATGCAGCAGCTTCTCTGCCTTCATCCTCCTTTCTCCTTCTATCTTTGCACTGCAGGTGAGTGATGGGAAGGTAAGAGGGGCTTCGGCCTATACCTGCCTCGAGGGGACAGCACATCAAAGTGCTGGGGCTGAGAGGGCGCTCCCTATGTGTGTGTGTGTTTATATGAGTGTGTGAGTCCTCTGCCAAAAATAGGGCTACATCAACTTACAAAATGTGCAATGTGCTGAAATGCTCAAAAACACTTGGAGCCAGAAAAAGAGAGCGGCTATTGCAGTGACACCATCTCGCTTACACAATATATGTACTCTGTGACCGTAGGGCACAATTTCCAACACACACACACACAAAGTAAGAAACACGGGAGGCTAGCTGCAGGCCTGTGTATACTGAACTACTCTGAGCGGGCAGACTGCTCCTTCACATTACTATGGCACACACAGACCACAGCACACACACAATGGCACGCATTAGGACACCAGCCGGACAAGTGTCAGCACTGGTTAAGGGGTTGTGGGCTGTGTGTGTTTGTATTTGTACACAGATCTGTTCATAATCTCTTGTTCATGTCTGCATGGTTGCATTAGCATGGATAGGTGTGTGTACATGTATGATCGTGATTCGTTACCATTTTACAAAATCATTATTATTACACTGTAGTTTAGCAATGTTTAGTTATTCAGGCTACTTTGCTTAGTGTTATATGATGGTCAATTTAATATTCTTTATATTTTTGACTCTTGTTTGCACAAATCAGACACTTTACTTGCATTTAGGTGCCACTTTACTGACAAAACGATAAAGCAACAAAAAAATTATCTGCAGATTAATCCATAAACAAAATAATTACAACCTTAATTTCAAGCTATGTCACATGTTGAATTTATTTTTCTGCGCTCCAAATGCTTGTATGAGTTCAAAAATAACTGTTTGTAGCAGCTCCCAGATCAGCTCTCACACAGTTACACACAATAACACATCCAGCTTGTTCAGCACAATCTGACGAGTTTCTAAGGTTGTAACTAAGGAGGACAATTACTTATGGTTACTGTCTACATGGGTGAAGTCGGTGTGGGTTCGATTACTTAACAGTTCCCCAAGATAGATACATTTGAGCTAATTGTGTATCCTTTGTGTGTGTGTGTGTGTGTGTGTGTGTGTGTGTGTGTGTGTGTGTGTGTGTGTGTGTGTGTGAGAGAGACTCACAGGGGGCTCACTGAAGGGCACCGGCTCTCCCACTTGGCGGTAAAGCCCAGCCAGCCGTTTGAGTGACAGCTCATCTGCGACTATCCCCTCCTTCTGCATCTGCTCATGCAGAGCCTTGGCTGACGGTAAGTCCTTATCCAGACCTGCCAGATGAGAGGAGCAGAGACAGAAAGAGTCAGCAAACAAGACAAAAATAAATAAATAAAAAAATCAACATATCAAACTCTTATTTCAATGACATTTGGACAGAAAATGACAAAAAAGGATGTACCACATTTAGTGGTGGTGAGATAATCATGTCATTTTCCACTTTGGTTTGTCATCAATTCATTGGCACCAAGACCTGATGTACCCATGCTTTTGCCAGGATAATGCATTTCTCCGAAAATGCTGCTGGTTGTGTGTTTAACAAGAACCAGGTTGAAAACAAGTTGTGTAAGAAAAGTGAGGACTCCTTTGTTTTCCTCTAGCGGTGGAGTAATAATTAAACAGAGGGGTGAGAAAAAAATTAGAATTTGAATTTGAAACTTCAAAACTTAAATTGAAATGCCTCATAAAGACAACACACCAGGACAGTAAAATTATCTTTTATACACATTTAAAATATTACTACTTATTCTGATTATTACTAAATTACACAGCTGTATATCATATCCTTCAAAATTATGTTATATTGGGGTTTAGAGTAATCATCTGTAAACCTGAAACAGAATGAATGTCTGTGGTTGTGTATCAAAGAGAAAAGTGGAAAGTCAGGTCACTACTGTCAAAAAAAAAGTGAAAAGAAAAAGTGCAAGTTAAAGAGACGAGAGAAGAAAACCCCTGAAAGAGAAAACACAGTACGTAGACGGGGCAGGGAACAGGCGAGCAGAGCAGCGCTAATTGTTTCCCCTATGGCTGCCTTGACCGACCAGCAAGCTAATGCTAATTAAATAGTCATGTCTGCTCATCTCTGGTGTGACAAGGTACGAAAGAGGGGAGACAGGAGGGTGAGAAGGTGAAGTGAAGGAGGAAAGGGGGGGGGCATGGGTGGAAAGGAGAGGATGTAGGTGAAAGCAAGAAGGGGAAGACAAAAAAAGATAGACAGGAGTAAAAAAGGTGGAGAGGGCAAGAAGTGATGGAGAAGAGAAAAAAAGAACAAAGACAAAAAGAAACGCTGAGTGGTGGACCGTGTTGCGATTAGCACGCTAGGCTAGCCAGGACAGCTCACTCATTAGAGGACATGTGTTCTTCTAACCCCTGAACGTCTGCCTGCACACACACACACACACACACACACACACACACACAGACAGACACACTCTCTGACCCGATGCATTGTTAATGTGTCCGCTAATGTTGACTTAGCCACAGGCCAGCGAGTCGCCTGCTGCATTGCTAGCTGCTCCACAAGACCCAACCAGGCCTTGTGTAAGAGTGTGTGTGTGTGTGTGTGTGTGTGTGTGTGTGTGGGGGTGTCTTACTGTGACATTTCATCAGGTACGAGTACAACACCTCCTTCTCGGCGAAGTCTGGAATCAGGCTCAGCAGGGACTTGATTTTGTACACCTGTGCACACAAACATTAATTTACATACAACAGTATTTTCTGTGTGCGTGCGTGTGTGTGTGTGTGTGTGTGGTTTTGTTACCATTTAAAACATGCAAATTATTGAAAACACAACATAAGTAGAAAGTTTTGCTGCCATGCGCTGATGCTGAAGGGGCCTTTACAGTCAAACTGAAAATTAAAATGAGTTTTTGCTATAAAATCTACATTTATATCCCAGATTTTACTTGTACTTATTTGTTTAGTAGAAGTTTAGGTTATGGACTCTAAAATATATACAGTAATTCTACTTTTGGTATAAACTTGCACAAAAAGTGAAGAGACTTCCAATTTCTGCACAATGTTGAACAAAGACAAAGATAATTCTGTTCTGGGTCTGTAATTGTAGAAACAAACAAACATGGCACATCACTACAACGTTGTCTTTTCTGTGACAAAGTGGCATTCCCAGACCTCAGCAATTAATTTGGTCAATTGATCATTTTGTCTTATTACTGACAAGAATCAGAAAGAGCTGAAAAAAAGAAAAAGAAAAACGAAGAAGAAATCTAATGTGTGATTTTACCTGTCCAGGACTCTGAGCTTTTCGAGTCAAGAAAGATATCAGCACCTCCTTCTGTTCAGCCACGGCGTTACAGCGCTACGGTAAAACAAAAGGGACAAAAGAAACATGTGAGTGATAACATGAGGGGAGATGGGAGGGCAGTGCTTTATCTTTTGCTCAAGTCAAGTCGAGAGGCCTCTCCAACCTGTGCTCTTCACATACATACGGACAGTGTATAAACACACGTTCAACACACTAACACATTCATACGATCACCTGCGCATCTACACTCAGGTTAATTATGGATTTAACAACTTGTTTTTTTAATGACAGAAAGCATAATTATCATCACTGAGTCACACTGAAGGCCACATATAGTACTCAAAGGACATATAAGTGCAGCCAAAGCCCAAATTGTTCTTTGCACAGTTGTAACCTCTGCAACTTTAAGACTTAAATCAATCAGTGGAAGACGGGAGGAAAGAGAGATGATATCAGACGAGAGAGGGAGAAAGAGAGAGAAGAAATGATCATTATTCCACAGACTTCTTACTAAATCCTGACCTACAGTGGGTTTTTTTGGGCAAAGTGTGAACAATAAATCAGCTGATGTTCATTGTACATAAACACACTCATTTTAATAAAGGACACAAAGTTTGTTTTGTCACGAGAACATGCATGAGAGAGGACATTTACTGTTACAAAGTGAACTTGCCTGTGCTCTCTGGGGGAGAAATTATAGACGGCACTTCTGCTTATAACCTCACCTCAAACAAATTTCTGTCATTTCTCTTCACCCATTTCTTGTTACTCACTGACCGACATACTCGCTGATTTAGGGCTGCAGTCGATGATTATTTTCAGTATCGATTAATGTTCTGGTTACGTGCTCAATTGATCGATTATGTCTATAAAATGTCAGAAAATGCCTGTTACAAATGTCCTGTTTTGTACGACCAATACTCCAGAACTCAAAGATGTTCACTTCACTTTCATATGTGAAAGCAGCTGATCTGTGATACGCTAATATCAAGCAACATATCAGCAGGAGGAAACGCTAAACGGCGGAAGGTAATGTGGAGGCTGAGGTGCAGAATAATCCTCTGTACTCGCAGTGATGCTCATGATATAAAAATAAAAAAATAAATAAATGAATGAGCAAATTCAGTGCACTAGACTAAACCTTAAAAATCCGATATATCTATTCAAATGACAACAATCTAGAAATACATGAACACTATGAGGAACATTTAATAACTGACAGACTTCTGTTGCTGAACGTTTAACCTGTGCATGACTGCTTATCTTGAAAACATGCAAGCATACATACAATACACCGTGTTTTAAGTGGGTGTGTATGTGTGTGTGTGTGTGTGTGTGTAAGAAATGCATTAACGTTGCTGTGCTTGGAGTGAGTGTGTGCATCCTCCTGGCTGAGCAGCAATGAGGTCTGATTACTAGCCAGTCGTGAACTAACGTGTTTCACTCCTTCTCCACCTTGTACAGAATTAAAAGCGAGTGGCCTGTAAGGCTTTTAACACACACACACGCACGCACGCACGCACACACGCAGACACACACACAGGGAGAGAGAGCAAGCTGCCTGCTTTCAGAGTCACTAAGCAGCAGAATGGCTTTAGCACAATCAGGCAATTAGACCAACACTATGCCACTTCACTCAACTTTGCTCCGTGCTCTCACTCACTCTCTCTCTTTTCTCCCTCACTACAGCGACCACTCCCAAAAGGCGATGCCACAACCGCCCAGGCCCACCGTCTCCCCTGCTCCTCACACACACTGCCTAAAAGCTCTGGATACCCAGGGAATGCTTCCTCCTTTTCCTCAATGACCCCCTCCCGACTCGCACACGCACACCCGCAGTGGTAAACCAGCCTCGCCCCGCTGCTTCCCTCTGTCACCGTTTCACTTCTTAATGACTAACTTCATCCCTCTCGTTCTCCGCTCGCTCCCCACCGACTTCACCTCCTTCTCTCCTGATAGCCTTGTCACCATTATTGTCTGCTCGCCTACTTAAAAGCTTTTCAGAGTTTTGGTCCTGCTTCACTTATGATGGGATGGAGCAGTTGGGCTTCCACCCTCCAGTGACTCTGGAAGAGCAACTTCGAAGGGGAGTCAGGAAGACGAACACGGGCCACGATGAGAGACAAAAAGGAGCACACCAGTGAAGCCTGGGTCTAAACTCACAAACTTAACACTTATGACAAATGGAAGAACAAGTTTTGGAAGAGTCTTTGCTCCGAGACTTCCTTGTGGGTTTACTTTATAACACCGTGAACATTTGCTCCTGGATTTTTGTTTTCCTGTTACCCGTGTTCACCCAGTTATTTACCAGTATTTCAAACATTAACAACGACTCACAGAGCTCAAAGTGACATCTAAAATTGTCTTCTCTTGTCCAACCAAAAGTTCAAACCTCAAAGTGATTCAGTTAAAAGCAGAAAATCGCCACATTTGCGAACAATTCATCCGTTATCAAAACAGTCTGCGATTCATTTTTTGATAACTAATCAACTAAGCCTTTGAACTCAAATTTTATATAACATTAGGTAGTTAAATTATTACAATAATTATATTTTTGAAGTTCTTCATGAGTTTTGTAATGAAAATCTTAATTTGTAAAGTAACTGTGGCTGTGTGATAAATGTAGAGGAGAAGGAATATTAAATGTCATGAAATGGAAATACTTGACTTGAGTACAGTAGTTTCATTCCACCACTCATGGATTATGCTGTATAAATAAATTAGAAGAGGTACAAGCAGGATTTGTCATTTTTAAATCATTTTTTGTCATTATTATGTTGGACTGTTTTAGCTTTTATGCTACACATATCAATTTGAAAAGTAGATCCCACTTGACAGTCTTCCTCCCTCTGTCTCTCCTTGTCCCTCTAAAACTAAAACTAAACCTGACAACAGATAAACTTGAAAATTGTTCCTACATCTCTGTTTTCAATCTTCTAGAGAGAAAAGGCAGACACTGAGCCGAGACCCATATCAAAGCAAGAAGCATATTATAGCTTTAAAAATGATATGATCCATACTCTGTGTTTAAATAGTGATGAAGATGGGAGTAGTAAGTAATGTATCTGTTCATTAACATGCATGCTAGTCAGACATCCCTGTTTAAAGATTGAGAGGATAATCACTCAGGATGTCAGGGAGAGATGAGGAGCAGACACATGTCTCTCTCTCTGTCTGAGTGGATCTGCTGTGGTTTACATTTCTCTTCAAGTTTCCCTCTCCGTTGATCCGGTTTAGGTTTAGGGGGGGACCACAATTTCATCATGAAGAAGAGCCGTTATAACAGAACTACCTGGTAAAGTTAAGATAAAATGACCATGATGGTCCATTTCAGGTTGGGTGGGTTGGTTAGGTTCCCACTTCTCCACTTCTTTCTACCCTAATCTCATACTGGTTTTACCATATATTACAATAATATAATATAATATAATACTGCAAATTCACTCTCCTTTGGCTGTGTGTTATTGGTAACCTCTCAGATTTGGTTGTATTAGAAGCCTTTTGTCTGCTTGTTCAAAAGGTACCTGATTGATGACTATTTTTGATTGATTGAAATTGATTTATGAGATTTTAATGTCAATCTAATATGTCCACAACCACTGATGTAGATCAGGGTGAAATGGGAGCAGATGAGATTGTGTGACAGGAACATAATATGACCTGAAAAACAGATTCTGTACTTCATGTTTAAATAGTGATGAGGTGTAGAAAGTGAGGGTAGTAAGTAATGTATCTGTATTCATTAGTGTGCTCTCCATTCACACATGCAACTGAATGACTGAGAGGGATAATCACTCAGCAAGTGAGAGAGAAATAATCACTGTTAGAGAGGAGGAAGGAACAGACTCTCTCTTTCTTTCGCTACCTCGTCCTCTCCATCCTTACACCTGTCCCTGACCCATCTTGCTTCTACATATTCAAGTCCCCAGGCTCAATGCAAAGTCATCGAGCTGTAATGTATGAACTGTGTTAAATAAGTGAAGTAGCAGGAGGCCAATTTCAGACCTCCAGACTCAGTGGTGTTTATGTGGGCCGGATAAATAAGTCAAAGACTGTGGCGGAAGACTGTCTCCACCATCACCAGGTTTCTGACAACGGGACGAATGCATCAGGGAGCAGTGATGGACTAAATTCACCACCAGGTCCCTTGTTGATTTTTTTTTTTTTTTTTGCAGATTTTAATTACTTTGATAGAATTATTTAAAATGTAGCCAAGTGCAAGACACTCAAATGGAGACAAATATGCTCCAGATGATTTAAAATTTATTTAAAGTGGCTGCAAAAAAAGTTTTATAAAAGACGCAACCGATGTTCCACAGAGCTTTCCTCGTGCTGTGCTGAATCAAGAGGAACCAGCAGTGCATGAGAGGTACCTGCACTTGACCACCTGAAACAACATCCTGAGAATTACATCCAACTATATATTTTGCCATAGTGGAGAGAGGTATTTGGTGGAGAGAGTGTTTATTTTTGGCCTTTTTTTTGTGGTTAAAATCCAGATTCACTTCAGATGTAACCTGCGGTTTTCCTCTGAGATACTGAGTTTCTTTCACAGCAGCCTCCTTATCTCCTCTTCTCTTCACACAGAGACAAAATGGAGAGTACTAACTACATGTGTGATGAAAAATCATTTCATGTTTATACAGTGATGAAGTGGAGTAAAAAAGAGCAGAAAGTCATGCATCTTCACCTGTCTGCATGAATACTAGTCAATTTCCCCCCAATTTAATAGAGTGCTTCACGTCAGTGGACCACAACTAAATACATCTGAAAACCTTATACACACACTCATACTGTAGGTCACCCACCACAAACCAAATGGGCACGAAAAGAAACAAAAAGAAGAACATAAGATGTTGAATTTGAATCTCCTAACATATCGTTCAGCTAAAAATACATCGGTGTGATACTTCGCACATAATTGCCTTGGCTCTCAGGCTTTTGGACGCTCGCACCACACAAACACAACAACACAACACACACAACACACACACACACACACCACACACACACACACACACACACACACACACACACACACACACACACACATACTCACGGCCAACATGAACTTGGCGTCCTCGAATTTGTCCATATCCAGCAGCTGGATGAAGAGGTCTGAAGCTGGTCTGTAGCAGGCAAAGTGGTTGGCTAGCCGCTCTGCCATAGCACTCACTGCAACACAACGTCACAGTTTTGCATTCCTTTTTGCTTGTTGCCTCACTTTGTATTTCTTCTTATATACATGTATTTATTGTGTGTGTATGTGTGTGTATCTTACACTTGTCTATGGCTTTGTCGTTGTTGTCTTCCAAGATCTTCCTGAAGACGAAGGACATACTGGGGTTTGTGCTGTCTGGACTGGTGTAGACTGACTCCAGCAGCTCCACTGCTGACTCCACATCACCACTGAAGAAGGGTGGAGGGGGGTGAGAATGAATGAGTGAGAGGGAAACAAAGGGTTAGTTTATGATGGAACAAAACTACACCCAAAAACTTGTACATGTTTAATCTTCAAACAGATAAACAGAATATATGAAAAACAAACCGTAACTTGAGACAAGAGGGTCTCAGAGAGAAAAATGACACGTCAGTAAAACCATGATTCAGCTTTGTAAGTGTGATGTGACCACTTGGGAGAGGAACATACACATAAGATATAAGACACAGGCCAGATTAAACAACAATAAGAACTGCTCCACATGCTGTTTTTTTCTGTGATTTATTATTAAAATGACACTGATTTTATTTTTTGTCCTTTACAACCTCCCCCTGAGTGCTCAGTCCTCCACTGATGCTCACTCACACACACTCATACTGTGAAATCTTTTTCTGCTGAGGTTGCCATGAGCAAACAAAGCCTGCACACCAAAGCACTACAAATCTAAAACAACTCATTCTGGCAACCCGACCTCGCTACTAACACTTTACGCTCCCTGCTCCCTCCCCACCGTCACCAGCTGTAATGAATATTTAACACACAGGCTGCGTGCACGTCTCCGTGTATGTATATGTGTGAGCGTCCAGAGGTGGGGGGAAACATATCTACGCTGATTGTTGCGACTGGGACCGTCTGAATAATTCAGCGGGGCGCCCCTCTAAATGTGGCGCTCTGCTTTCCGGAGCCTGCCTGCTTTTTCCGCCCCGGCTCTTAACCAGTCAGCTTGACTCAGATACAGCGGGGACGCACGTGTCAGAGCCGCTCAGAGCGCAGCTCCCACAGGTCAGGGTTCAAGCTGACAGGCCTGCGCTGCGATGGCCAATCGGGCGTGAGACCGTCCTGCTATTCTTCACTTCCTGCTGTCCCTCCGAGTTGGCATTGGGGACGCCGCCGCTCAAGCCGGGGGACAGCGCTAATGCGGCAAGTAGCACAATGAAAGTTTGATGCACAATGTGTTTTAGATTTTGTTCTCTGATGTTTAAGAAGCAATGGAGCCGCAATGGAAGATGGGTGACTTCATGACATTAAAAGGAATCCATGAATAATCCTATTACGCCTGAGTTTCCTATTTGTACTTGACGCCCCACTCGCCCCGTAAGCTTTTATGTTGAGAGTGTGACAACCTGGGTCTCGTCACACTCGGCTGCTGGTACTACATTAAACTGTTTATCTCAGTGTGCTGAACATGAAACACAAAAGACTTATCACTAAACTGAAATTGAAATACTTTACTCATGCAACATGTTGGGCGTCCATCTGTACTCCTTTGACTTTACATGATGGACGTCCATGTGCAAGAATTAGAGATGAGGACATCTTTCTCAAAAGCTGCATATGCCTAAAAATCCTAAATTAAAGCCTCTTGTGTAGGCGATTATAGGATCTTCCAAATTACTCTGATGTTGTAAGTTTTTGTTTGTATAACAATGAGACGAGTCTGGAGTCGCCACACTCAGAAATCTTCAACTCTGCTCCTAAAACACATAAAACTAAATCGACACATATACGTTTGGCAGTCTTACTTCTTGATGTGTCCCAGTGCCGTGTTGTTGACAAACATCATGCTGGACAGGTTCAGGGTTGTGCCGAGGCCCTTCATCAGAGACTCCACTTCCTGGATGCCAGCCACGTCACCGTGGCTACCTAGGGCCTGAACCAGTCTGGTGATGGCGAGCTGCGAGGGCACTTGGTCCTCCTGCAGCATAGACTTCAGTTGCTGAAAAGCATCTGTGGAGGAGAGCGGGAAGTGAGTCTGTGCGTGTGACATGGGTATACGTGCATGTTTTCCATACATGTGCCTGTTTCTTACCTTTGGCCTGGCCTCTCTTGCAGAGAGAGATGACGACCAAACTGGTGGCGATATCACTCAGCTGGAAGTTTGGCATATGAGACACGGCACTGAGAGAGACAGAGACAAAACATTTTCTTACGCCTTATTTGGGTCAATATGTTGAAAACGTCAAAGTATGAACTCCCAAGGACAAAAAGAAACTACAAAATAATGGCTCATGGGTAAGGGGGGCCATGACGTGATTGAAATTCATCAGCGATTATGTCATACTGGGGGCTATCCGTTTAATATATCTGGTTGCATTTGGGCAATCAATGAGCAGAAACGTTTTACTGTACTATTGGATGGCTCTTTGGATAACACAGTATGCAGCAGCTCAGCTGCCAGCAGTCTTTATTTATGTGAGGTATTATCGTGCATCGTGTAATCCCATATGGAACGGGCCATTTCTATATAAAGAGAAAAATGTATTTATCTTGATATTAGATGTCACATACATGACAGAAGATTTTATCCACATCTGAGTGGTGTTGCAACATGTAACTTCTTATCAGGGTGGAGTGTACACAGCTATAGAGTGTGTTATTTCTAACTTCAAAGCTGATACTGTACCATTAAAAGCAAATCTTTATAATCTGTGACGACTGAGTTAATATCTCTGCGCCGTCTCCCTCTTTAGGGTTCTGAGCTGGTCCATTATACGGCATCACATTTAGAGAAACATTAAACTCCACAGAGACGGAGTGGATAAACACATGAGCTGAACGACAGGAAGACAGACAAGACAATGAGAACAGCTGTGACTGACAGCTAGCCTGAGCCTCTTGTAAAGCGCCTGCTGTGACCCTGAAAATAATACAGACATCAAACAGTTGATTGATGCCACCGTATATGATGATGTGCCTTCCTGCTGAGCTCCCTCACGTGAGTGTTTGTGTATGTGTGTGGTATTATGTGGGAGGGTGAGGCCTCGGAGCTGCTCCTGCTCCTCGCCACTTCTTCCTCCTCCCTCGCGCCGTCTGCTCGTCTATTTTCTGTCCCTTTCAGCCCACCTCCTTTTCATTTCTTTGCCACTAAAACCTCAATCAAGCCTGCCTCCTCGTCTTTTTTATTTTTTTTTATTTATTATTATAGCCCTGCAACCAGATTAATCCGTCCGCTCAATTGAGCATCAGGCCGGCAATCCTTATCACCACAGCGACACCAGGCCAAGCAGCATTCGGCAGCTGCTGTGACAGGGTCACGGCGGAGATTGGAGTGGTAACAGGGTCGCGGATGGATTGCCGTGGAGACCAAGTGGTGGTGGGGGGTGGGGTCAGAATTATTCTTATCGGGTGGGAGAAAATCTCTAGAGGCTGTCTCTCACTCACCTTTTCTCTCTCACACACACACACACTGCTGCTCTCTCTTGCCTTCTCCTTCTGGGGGTATTGTGCTTTTGCCAAGGAATCCATCATCCACCTCTCTCTCTCTCTCTCTCATCATCATCATCACTCTCTCTCAATCCCTTAATCTCACCATAAGCACCCCGCTGCTCAATTCTGTACAGATTACCCAAAAAACAAACACACACACCCACACGCACTGAGAATTAATGCCTATAGCGTCTTCATTAACCTCGTACGTGATTAAATCTAGCCCTCCTCCCCTCGTTCACTCCTCTTTTCCTATTTAGCTCTTTTTATCTGCTTCCTCTCCTCCTTATTTCCATCTTTCCCCCCGACTTTCCTCTCAGCTCATTTCACTTCTCATTTAGAGTGCAGATAAACTAGGCTTTTATCCAGGCAGGGATGCCATAAACCAATTCAAACAGAGACTGGAGATGGGTTATCGCTTGTATTGCTTCGCGCTTGTTGAAACATGGGTCTAAAATTGATATGATTATTCCTCATAACATAAGAGAGTGAACCATGTTGAGACGCAAAAACAGGGGAGAGACTGATAGTGTAATAGATGTTTTCACATTTTTTTCTTTCTCTACAAATTAACAGCGTCTCTTCTTTGTATTATGTGCTTTCTATTTTATTTATTTTTTTAACTGTGTTTTTTCTCTGCAGAAAGAAAAGTGATATAAAGAGACAAACAAAAGGAGATAAAGAAAAAGGAAAAGGAGGAGATTACCCAGACAGACAAAGAGAGCAGAAAAGATCAGCGACGGGCTAAAGCCAGAACTCTAATACCTCTGTCTGTCCATCCATTTGTCTGCAGGCTCTTGCCCTGATATGGCCCCATAACACAACAACACATGATACATTACTAATTGGAAGAAGATTGATGTTTTTGAGCAAAGTCACCCGCTTCCCAGAAATCCAAAATTAATCTGTACATCTGAGCGTGTGTGTGTGTGTGTGTGTGTGTGTGTATCTTGCGGCTTAGTAAGAACCACTGTTCATATCCAGCAGGGCTGAGTGTGTTAGCACACAATCAGTTTATAATCCTCATGTCTAGTGAGGAGACGTAGTTTGAGCCCGAGGTGACCTGGTGCCACAGACTGAGGAGGCGGGGAAAGTAGCAGAGCATTGACCAAACTACATGTTGAATTTGTCCGTTTTTTGTTTTGTTTTTGTTTCGATGTCAAGATACAAAAGTCTGTCTGCCCTAAAGGTGAATATTTCTCAATAGGCTCATCTAATAACAATTCTGATTCATGATGATCTGAACTGACTAAAGACACTACAAAGACATGGGTCCCCAAAGCAAACAGATGAAGAAATTGCCCATGTTTCCCCAGGGAGCCAAACCTGCTATCTACTTACACATACTGTTTATGCCTGTAATCATAATTGGGATGAACAGTAATGTTGAACCCTGACTATGTCTCAGGAGGTCGGGTCTGAAGCGTGCCGTCCACTAATCGGAAGATCGGTGGTTCGATTCCCGGCTCCTCCAGTCTGCATGTCGAAGCGTCCTTGGGCAACATACTGAACCGCAAATTGCCCCCAATATAACATTGGTGTGTGAGTGAAAAGCTGTATGTGTAGAAAAGGTGCTGTATGAATGTGTGTGTGGATGGGTGAATGTGGCTTGTGGTGTAAAGCACTTTGACTGGTTGATAAGACGAGAAAAGGCCCTACTTATTTACCTTTATGTTGTTGCATTTATGTTAAGCCACTTACATGTCCTTGACTCCCATGGCATCCTCAATGGCTCCCTCAGCCAACAGCGCACGGATCAGGTGGTCATATGTGGCAGGGGTTAACGACACACCCGTTTTATCAGATTTCTTAAGCATCCCCAAGGCTTCTGCAGAAAGAGAGCGAGAGAAGGAGAGGGAAAGAAAAAAAATCAGTTGGAGGTTGGACAGGATGAAGAAAAGCGGAATCTGAGATAATCTTCATATTACTGGATTAATAGAGTAATCTGCTTCCACAAAGACGACTACAGTGGTGAAACATCGTTAATATGTTTAAATTTTAAAATTTAGATGAAATTTGGTGCTACTTGCTGTAGGTGAGTCCAAACGCTCAATCAAGCAATTTTCTTTATATTAAAACTGAGTTTTAAATCTGTGTAATTTGAAAGTTTTGCCTGCACTTGGCTGAGATTTAATGCTCAACTCTTGTGGCTCTACCCAGCTTTTAAGGTGTCAGTATTGTTCAACCTCCTTCACCTTCTGACCTCAGAACAGGGGTGTGGGGTGTGTCCGACAGTTTTTGTAACTTTCAAAAAAGATGGTGCGTCATTATCCCAATTTTTTAACGATTATGGCTGCAGGTATTTTCATCCCGGGCCTAGCGTGGCCATTAGGAACAAATATAAACACTTTTGCTCTCAGATATGATCGGCTTAAATGTCACGAGCAAGTTCGTTTCAGGTGTAACTCCATTATCTGTCCGTTATCTGGTCCATAATTACACTGTATGGTTCCCTCCCAGCAGGAGCCATATAAAATGCTTTTTCAAGCAGAAGAGTCACACTTATAGCTACCTGCCCAGCATAAATCAGAAAAAAAAGCTAAGTGAATGAGCGGCCAGTGGCAGTAGTCAGACATCTAGGAAGCTTGATATTCTAGATCCAGTGAATTTTCTCAGGATTTGGAGCCAGAAAAAAAGGCAAGTGTGAAACGGATCTATATTCATCAGATGACAGGACTCCAGCTGAAAGCCCATGTTACTGATTGTGCTGCTCCTTTTAATAAACAACAAATAAAATTCATAACCCAAAAGTACATCAGGGCTGCAGGGGTCTTTCTCTCCCTCAATGCTCAGATATTTGTTAATGCAGTTTCACATGGAATTGAAGTGTTTCGAACCAGCTGCTTATGTGTTTAATTCAGCTCTGTGTCATGTGGGACAACAACACCGCGGCGTCCTGCTGCTCACCTTTGGCTCTGCCCTTCTTGCAGAGGGTGAACAGCCGGGTCTCGTATTCAGTAACACCTTCTGCTGTGGTGGGGGTGGTCGATGCCTTCACCTGCTGCTTGGTGGCAGCTTCTTCATACCACGTCTGTAAATGACACAAAAACACACACACACACACACACACACACACACTCACACACACACACACACACACACACACACACACACACACACACACACAGAAAATAGTGATAAAACTCAGTCTGATGTTTCCATCAAAACACAGCTACATTCAAGCCTGTGCACGTGTTCAACTGTGCGCTGGCAATGAGCTGGTGTGTGTATGACAGTGCAATAATGCTGGGCAGGCATGGCAGGGTCCCCTAATGCTCGGTCACCCGTGTACCCGCGAGGGGAGGGGGTTAAGCTGTATTGGCTGGGGGCAAATTAGGTCTGGCACCCCAGGGGCAAAAGAAAAGTGTATGTGTGTTAGAGGGTATGTGTGTCGGAGCAAGGGTGTCAACTCAAGAGCCCCTGGGGTCACCAAGTTCAACGCCCCAGGCAACAGCAATCACTTCCTGTCTCATCATGCTTCGGGCCATCGGAGCACACTTGCATGTGCAAAGCGAAGCAGCGAGGAGGAGTGGAGCAACAGAACACAAAGAAACAGATTATTACAGCATCCGCTCCGTCTTTATTGTATTCAATTGAAAAAAATAAATAAAAATCCTGACTCTCTCCGCTTAATTTTGTCTTTTGGTCAGAATACGGTTCAGCACACATGCATATATGTAACTAAGCATCCAGCGGCAGCCATATGGTGGCATTTAGCTGCTGGCTAAATTAGTCTGGCATTACAGATTTACAGACAGATCAAGCTGTAATTCCTTTCACCAGCCAGCCGGTCTGATTGACCACACTTCAGATCAGAGCTTCAATCCTGTTTCCTCTGTATGTAATGAAGAGAGGCTTAAAGTGGAGCAGGGTGGGGTGGGGAAGAGGGGGCTGTGTGGACAGAGCAGCTGATAAGAGTTTTCAGAGGGTTTTTGGGGTCAGTTCCTGTGATCAGAGGTTCGGATCAACTTGCTCTTCGTTTAATCTATTCAGTAAGCAACGGTTTTTATTCAGAAAAAATAATAAAAATCAACTTGTGGTGTCATTAGTATGAAAATAACTGAGAATGAGACCATTGTATTTTAAATGATGGTGTGCAGCTTCAGTTTATATTTGGCTATACTCAATACTCATCTGTGTCACTCCATATCTTTACAGGATAACATACAGCATTTTAGGCACTATCAATGTATATATTTAAACTTAGATGGTCCCAGTTTTTAGTTTTATGTCAGTTACTCATCATGGTTTCAGTTATTTCTGTTTTTATTATGTCATATCTGATCTACAGTGCCTGTCTGTGCCCTTGTGTTGTTTGTTTTGTGTTCATGTGTGACTTGGCTGCTGTAATACTACAAATTCCCATTTGTATTTAATAAATTACTCTATCTATTCGGCCTTTTTGGGAAATGAGATGAATTATCTTTTATGGTTATTTATCAAGGACGGCTTTAATATCAAAGTAGAGGAAACAACAGTGAGAAATGACCATCACAAGTTCCCAGAGCTCAAGGTGAGACTTAAAAACTGCTTTTTGTACAATGAAATTAATGAAATCGAAAAAGATATTATTATTATTAAGATATTTACCATTTTTGCTCAACTAATCATCTCAGGCTATAACCAAGGGTACCTCAACTCCATCTCATTCAAGATTTAACGACAGAAATGTATGCACAGGCACAGCTGTATTGTGTGTTTAACCATCAGTGCTTCATGGTTGTGTGTCATGTTTGACCTCAGGCTCTTATAAAGTCCTCCAAAACTCTTGGGAATCTCTTGGCCTTTACTTTCAGGTTCCTCTGGCCCTCCAGGGAACCTCCTGGCAATTATTCTTCTGAATAACACATCTGTCTAATGAGCGTTATTGGGATGTATGGATTATAAAGCTGACGTTTTACCTCAGGCACTTCGAAGGGCACCTTCTGGCCGTTACTCTTCAGGATGTCTGCCAGCATACGCAGGGTCCTCTCCTTGGGAATGATGTTCTCCTCCTGCATTTTTGTCCACAGCGCCTCGGCCTTCTCCCAGTTGTTTGTCTTCTCTGAAAACAAGAAACAAGAAAGCAGTGGGAATGAGAAAAGGTTTGTTCTCATTTAATTTATGAGAGCCATGACACGTGTGCTTGTACAGTCGGTCAAAGCGCTCCATGCTGACAGAGGTCAATCAAAGTACTAATCTGATCAACTGACTGACCCTCAACTATGCTGTAATTTAGGAAACACACCAACTAGTGGTGTGTGTGTTCACGCAGGGAAGTGGGGGTAATGGGTTGACAATCAGCTTCAACACTCCAATCACAACTGTTATCTGCTCTGCGCTCCTCTGCAGCAATCACACCATGTCTTCTGCTTACTTCTGAGCGATCCCATTCTCCTTCACTCTCTCACACACACACACACACACACACACACACACACACACACACACACACACACACACACACACACACACACACACCCTGGGGCAAGAACACTGTGCGCTCACAACCCATCCAGAGTTGGCGGGTCACGACAGCACGAGGGGATTGCAGGTAAATAGGAGGTCAAATACACCCACACACAAACAGACGGACGAAGCAGAAAGAAAGAAACTTACTGCACAGACGGAGGATGTAACTGTACATCTCATCTCTGTCGCACTGAAACAGTTTGGCCGTCATGTCTACCATCTGCTCCAAGGCCTCCATCTATATACACGCAAACACAACAATACATGATTAAAGTTGGAATTTTTGTATTTTCAATTTTCTTTTTTCACTTCCCTCTTCGTGGCCTTGATCATTGCAGGCTGTTATGTTTGTCTGTGTGGGCGGGTGTGTTACCTGGTTGGCAAGAATGCATTTCTCTGCATACCACTGCAGGCGTCCAGGCCTTGCCCTCAGCCCGGGGGTCTGCAAACATTAAAACAGATGAGAATTTTTGAGGAAATAATACAGAGAGCAGATAAATAACAGTATAGGCAAACTGCAGCTGCACTGACCATCTGCTGAATGTCAGTGTGTGGAATGTGATAATTGTGTGGATGTTTTATACATTATGCTGAAAAGGATCCAGTCTGCTTACAGCATCCAACCTAGTCAGGTTGTCTGGATATTAACTGGACCATGAAAATAAAATAAATAACTGTACAAGCATGATATATGTAGCAAGTCAACGAAATATAGGTTAAAAATATATATAACTCTTAAAGCAGTATCTATACGGTAACTGCCTATTGATCCATACTGACCCATCCAGCCATTCAGCATTTTAAATATTGCTATTGTTCGATGTAAACTTATTACAGGCTCATATAAGAATCAATATAGATGCACATTTCACCCGTTTAAAAAATAAGATCTTGTACTTTTATGAGGGTGCAGTGGTTTCACATTAACTTCACACTGATGTATTTGTCAGATAGAAGTTAATGTCTGTGTGGCCTTGAGCGAGCTCACATCATGCAGGTACATAAAAGCCACAGCGCAGTGCATCACTACACACATAACACAATTGAGGATACAGTTGTGTTTAGAGGAGTGTATGACATCAGAGCTGCACAGTGTGGCAGCAACTCAAGACTATTTTCATTTCATCATTTTCATTATTTTGTTGTTTACTGATTGATCATGTAGTTAGTATAACATCAGAAAGAACTCAAGGCAACGTTACTTTAAGATTAACTTGCTTATTTCAACAGTCCAAAAGAGATAAGACATTAATTTTCCAATGATACAAAACATATGAATTCATATTTTGGTGTTTAGCACTGTTGCTTTACTTTAACAGTTAAACTGGTGATCCCTGGTTGGAACTCATATAATATCTGTGAGTCTTCTTTATGAAAAACCGACACATATTTGGAGATTAAAGAAGACAGAAGAAAAACAGAAAAACTTTAATTCATTTAAGACTCAAAACCATGACACTGGAACAGAACTACACAAACAATCTAACAACATTACTACATAAATAATAAAAATATTGCGATATTGCATTTCCCCAAAGGTTTTGTTGTTGTTGTCATGGTTATTATTTTATTTTTGGAAATCTCTTGCAACAAAGATTTGAGTGGAGAAAAAGAAAGAGCTGATCAGGTCGAGAAAAGAGAAAAGACTTCTCAATATTCTCTTAACATCAGATGCTAATTTAAAAAATGTAAAAATAGAACATAGAAGAATATGAGTTTAGGATTAAAATGTGCTGACTATAAAGTCCCACCTGCTGTAAACCGTACGTTTAGGGCACCAATGATTTACAGATAGACTGAGTGTGTGAGCTGTCAAATAAGGGCTGACATAGATTGATCTGCAGGCTCATGTAGCTCAGATTTAGCCTGATATGTGGAGTGACTATGTGATTATTATCATGGAATAACAGTGATCAGGATTTCATCTATCTCTTGGGGCTTTGATACAATCTGAATAAGACTAGGACTGAGAAATCTCACCCTCCCTCTCTTTACTGGTAATCTGTCTGAGAAAAAAGAGAGAGAGAGAGAGAGAGAGAGAGAGAGAGAGAGAGAGAAACAGAACGATCTGCTAGGAAGTTAATCTGAACGGGGATCAACAGCGCTCAATTCCCGCTGGCCTCTTTGATGGGAGCCCATCATACTGTGAGAGGGAGGGGAAAGTCAAGAAAAGATGGGCTTCATCCCTTTCTCTGCCCATCCCTCACTACCTTCATCCTTTCCTCTTTCAATCCCCACTTCTCTCAATCCCTCCCTCTTCCTCCAAATCTCCCGTGCTCCTCCTCGGTCTTTTCCCCTGCCTCTCCATCCCTCCATCCGGCCCAGGCAAAGGCATTATGTTCTTACCCAACCAGCCAAAGGGACAAATTAAAATGTGTTGCACTCACTCTCTCTCAGTCTGTCTAATCTTCTTAGAGACTAAGGCCCAGTGCAAGTGCTCCATCTTTTTTTTTTTTTTGTGCCTGCGACTCCTTTTACTTGGTAAAGTCTTGCAGGCACAAAGCAGCCTTTCGCACATCTACTCGCAAACACATGCACACATATGAATATGTTTGGGATTTTTGAATCCGTCGAGACAAATCTCCCTAATCTGGGCAGAAAACAAAATCCCCAGAAATAAGAAGGCACATAATTTACACATGCACGGGTGGATCAGAAGAATACAAAGAGGAAACAAACAAAAAACAGCGCAGACATTCTCACTTTCTGAAAGAGATAATGGAAAAGGTCAGATTATTAGGACAATCCTCTGACACACACACACAAACAGCAGAGTGTATTACAGGCATTACTCTGCCTCTTTGAGAGTCTTGTGTGGCCTTTGGATGCTGAAACTTTACAGGTTTCTCTCTCATCCTTATGAGCATGTACACAAAAATAAAAAAGATAGAGCCGACCTCGTCTCACCTCCACTTAACAAACCCTCTCCATCTCAATTCCTAATGTTGTAATTCCACTAATCACCTGGCCACTTAGTCCACACACACACACATACACACATGCACACGCACGCGGCCAAACCCCTCTCCCTAACACAAAAACACATAATGGCTCACCACTCTTTAGCAATACTACCTAACCTTGACCATCACACACACACGCGTGCCACAATAATAGGCCCGGCCACCTGACAATCCTCTACCTAACCATGACCATTTAGCACAAAATTGGCCACCTTTCTCTATCATTACATTTAATTAGCTGTGATTAATCAGCTGCCAATTATACCAAACACAGTCTAAAGAGAGACACCACTCTGGACTACCACTTGACGCTCTCACAGGGGAGAAAAAAAGCATTTGTGTGTTTGAGTGTGTGTGTTTGCATATTTGAGTGATAGATATGACTCTATTTGAGTTATATATCACCTGAGCACTATATCCATCGTCATGCAAAGGAGAATAAGTGAGAGTTCAGGAGTGGACTTTCTGTTCACAGACTTTGATCGAAACATCTTCACCGGTTAACTGGGCCTCTGTTTTTGAAATGTATAATCTCAGTGACAGTTTTTGCCTTTTCCTGATTATATTGCACTAAACTGGCACCTCTGTGGGTCCAAGGTCACCACCACTCGGCTGATTCTGCTTTAAAGTTGCATTAATCAATATCATTATATAAACAATAGATGAAATGCCGATGTGTAATGTGAAAGAGGTCACCGACTACAGAGAATTATCATCTGCCTCTGCAGTTCACCTCAGCTCTATCTCACCGTTTTATTTTTGTACGACTCCAGACATGTTTTAAACTGAGTAAAAATACTCTGCTATGATTAATATATGATTAATATCTTTGTTTAACATGATTTACCCACATAAAAAGGTGAAAAAAATGGAGAACCGGGGCTGGAAGCAAATCTACGCTTACTTCCTCATTGAGAAATCAGCATCGGGCCCTGACCACCGCTGCTTGTGCTGCGTTGCCAGGTGAAAGAGTAAAGTGTATCCAGATGTTTAGTGTTAGAGGAAATATCGAAGAGACTCAGCCACATGTTTGAGCCTCAGTGAGTTGAAGGGATTGGTTCCACAGGTTCTAAAACATATGAATCACTGGCTGCCTGAATCCATTTTTATGAGGGCGTCGTCGATTCCCAGCAGTGTCAGGGTTTAAATAGGCGGTCGTGGCTTTGACTGCTTATTTCGCTCATGATATGTCTATTATTATATAAAAAACACCGTATGGACACGTTAACAAGGTAAAAACATGATTTTCTCGGGCGGAGAGCAGAGCGCAGGCCTTACTGCAGCAGCCTGGGTTTGAGTCCAACCGAGGCCCTTTGCTGCATGTCATCCCCTCTCTCTCTCCCCTAACCTCCCTGTCTCTCTGTCTCGCTCTCTCTCAATGTCCTCATTGCAATAAAGCCAAAAATGGCCCAAAAACCTCAACCTCACGCTGTGTGTCCACAGCAAACCAGTCAAACCCTCAAGCTAAAACCCAACAGATGGGGTGACGCAGTTGAGCTTTTGTCACTCTACCCTACATCCTTCATCGACATCGTGTCAGCATGTACATCTGTAAGTCTATTTACGAGGCATCACCAATCTCACACACCACTGGCATGTAGGATAACAGCCATACAATCTAGCAGAAGAGGAATGAGAGCCACAATAATAACAACATGTCAGTAATATTTAAGAGGGTTTGAAAATCCTCAAGAGGGACAAATCCCTCTTTTAGTGCACAACAGGACATGAGAGAGAGAGTCAGAGCGAGGGAGTTAAGTTATTTTTTTCTTCCGTTTTGTTCTCATCCTGATCAGGAAACATAATGGCCTTGTTTCCCTTCCTCTTATGTCAAGCTCATCCCTCTATTCATTTAATCATCAATCTCTCTGTCCTCCAGTCCCTGACTGCCCATCCATTTTTTTTTATCCATGTGAAAATCGCTTCTTATCTGCCTGCTTTGCCTCTCTATTTTTCTCACACTAATCTACAGGGTTTTATAGCAGGACTTAAGATGACAAAGATATAAATATTCATGAAATATTCAGGTCAGACGAGCAATGACAAAAAAAAAAAAAAAAAAAAAAAAGAGTTTGGCAATTCCATCCTGCATGACCTCTTTGGCTCCTGACAGTCATGCAGAGGATTTTTATCTAACTATTTTTCATCAGGTAGCTGTAGGTGTGATTGAGAATCTAATTATCTATTGAGATCAGATGCAGCAAGTGGCAGTCGAACAACAAACCGCGGATGCTTCAAATAGAGAGACGAGAGCTATTCACTTCAGCTGTTTCACAGTTAGTGAAGTGGAACCAGAATATGAATGAAAGCTCTTATGTGTCATTCTGTTCCAACCGAGGGGACAGAAACTAAAAAGAAAAAAAGAAAAAAAAACAGGTACATCTTTGGCGGGAATTAGGCAGATTTTAGTTAAGTACAGCACACAGCGCTGGATGAGTGTGGTCAAACCAGGAAGATCAAATACAGATACCACTCGTCGCTTCATACATGAGTTTGCATAGCAGTGAAATAAGAACCTGTTAATGTTCCATCGTTAGAAATGATTATTTCACGCTGAACTTGTTTTGAGATCACTAAGAAACAATATAAATTTAGGTTGGTTATTATGAGAAACATCTGAATATGGTGACAATATATAGGAGACCTATTTTTACATACTGTGTTACAGACATGATGCTACATGGTATAATAAATACGTCACTACATCCTACGACTAAATACATTTGTTTCAGGAATAAGCAGTGTTGTGTTCGTTTACCTCAATGACCTTGCGAGCCTCACGGTAGCGGCCCGTCTGCAGGAACGCAAAGCACAGATCATACAGCATATTCATCTCCCCTCGCTCCTGACTTATGAAGTCCATGGCTGAAGAGAGAGACAGGCAGGTGGGGAAACAGAGCAGAGAAAGGTCATGAATAAAAATGACTACAAGGTGAACAAACACACACTTCATGCTTTCACTCTGAATCCATTATTTGGCACAATGTCCCAGGCACAAAACAGCCGTATCAAGCCTGCTCTCAAACAAACACACACACACACACACACACACACACACACACACACACACACACACACACACAAGTCCCGAATGAAAGCCTAAGCTCTCCTGGTAAACTTGCTAAAGCGCTCTGCTCAGCGTTATGTATTATCTCTGTCCAGCAGCTTCAGGACAGGTACCACACACACAGACAGACAGACACACACACACACACACTCACAGCAAACTTTCAGTTATCCAGCATATTCAGCAAAGCAGAGGAAGAAAGAATAATCCCTCTCCCTTTTACTTGTGTCATCTGAAGTCAACTGAAAGAACAAAGTGGTGCCATTTTGCATTTTGGACTTAAATCACTCAGAAATTAATTTTGGGTCAAGATCTAATGTGGGCAAGTTTTCAGACAAGTTCCAGACTAAATTTAGGTTGTGTTTCATATGCGCACATCCTAATCTGAAGCTTTAGTGGAAGACTGAACCACATCGGCTCATTAACAAAACAAATTCATTCACTTTCCCTCTACTGCATCTCAGGTTCCCGTAGACATGTCCGGGTTGAAAGCATGTTTGGTGACTTCTTCCTCTCAGAACCTCAGAAAAACTCCATATTTTAGTTTTCTGTTGACGCTCGAGCTCAAACCAAGGTCAGACATGTGAGTGACGGTCTTTTGACAAGCCGTGTCATGCTTTTAGTGTGTTTTGGACCACTGAAGGTCAGTCTGTTGGAAGGATGCGCGTTTGACGGTTGCAGTACGTTTCTGCTTTTCTTTCACATGGTGTGTTTTAAGGTGAATTTTCAGACCACCCATGCACCGCGACAGCATGGGTCCACAGGAGCGAGCCGGGGTGCAGCAGGCTGCAGCACTCAACATGCACTCACAACGCTGTCAGATCGAGTGAGATTTAAAGTTTATGTTACAAGTCACCTCTCTCTACTTTAAATGAGGGGAGTGGGAGACAGAATAATGTGTTATTTCAAGATCCACTGATTGGCACTGGTTAACATGCTGGCCTCTGTCAGACAACTGTTGTAAAAAGTCATTTCGTTTTTTTGAGGGTGACTCTAAGGGTCTGTCACCTTAGGGGGGAGAGGGGTCAGAGATGAGGGTGGGAGGGATGGGAGGTGGAGAGGTGCTTCACTGCACGGTTTCAACCTTTACGCACTCCAGAGCCACTTGCCCCTGCGGCACATTGAACTTGACCTTTTCACCGCGTTGCTGTCGACATGCAGGGAGACTGTTCAAACCGTGATCTGCCAACGTGCTTCACCGCGACCCCGGTCTGAACCTCTCTCACTCTCTGCCCCTCTTACACTCTCGGAATTGTTGGCACTTGTTACGTGCACATTTAATGCAAACACTGCACGGGCACTTTGGATTAGCGACTCTAACTCTTCACATTTGAGGAGCTGGAAACAGCAAATGCTCGGTGACCTACTGAAGTTAATGATCGAAATTGTCAATAAATGTTTCCATCGACTTAATGGTTGTTTTAGCGCTAGATTGATGGAGCAGACAAAAGATGAGTGTTTGACAGAGTGTGTGGTCCGAACAGACAAGTGTGTAACCTTTCTGCAGCAGTTCGGTGTCTCCTTTCTCCACCAGCGCGACGAGGATGTCGTGGATGCGAGGCATGTGGTTGTAGCGCTTCTGACACTCCAGCACTGCCTCTAGAGCTCCGGGCAGGTCCTTTCTGCAGGTATGTGGACGGACGGACGGACGGACGGACACACACACACACACACACACACACACACACACACACACAAATACACGCAGGGAGAGTTGGGAGAGAGAGCAGAAAACGAGTTAGATGTCAGGGCCGTCCAATCTGTCATGGACGGGACTGTGTTGGTAGAGAATCGAGAGTGTATCATGGGGTGTTAACCCTGTGACCTCCTATTCAAGCACTATGACCTACCACAACAATACAGGCCTTTGAATTCATGACAGCACAACTGTGGGTGATGAAGCCTTTTGGCCCCAATACATCATTCTCACACAATCAGGCACACTCACACACACACACACACACACACACACCTGTCTGCGAGTGGCTAATATCCCTCTGGACAGGCTTTTAGAGGGGAAGCAATGCAACAGACAAAAGGACTCGACTGATCTTTACCCTCTCTGCTCAGCTCCTCTCACGTCTTCCCAACTTCTTTCGCTCTTTCTCCTCTTTTGTCCTCTCCAACCCCCTTTAACCCCTCATTTCCTCTTCTCTCATTTCCCTTTCCACCTGATCTTCCCTCTCTCCTCCTTCCTTTCTTCCTCGTCTTTTTCGCCTCACCATCCTCCTTTTGATTCCATGCTGTCAGCTTTCGCTCCCCTCTGACGACCTCGCCCCCCAGCTGAGCAATTTAGCAGAAATATGGCAACAACATTAGAGCCCCCCTACCACCAGCAGCTCGCTCCCTTCGTCTCATGTCATCCTTTTTTTGCTCGGTCTACCCCCCCCCCCCCCCCCCCCCCCCACTCGGCCCATCCCTCACGAGCGGACGAACAAACAAAAGAGCGTGTAGAGAGAGGATGAGTGCGCCTGATGGAGTGATAACGAGAGAAGTAAGAGATGGGGAAAGGAAGCAAAAGAACGAGAAGCGGAGAGAAGGGGGAGGGAGAGAGACCACTTCAATCCCCTCTATTGTGACAGCGCTGCCATCAATCTGTTGATTGGGTAATTACCATGTCAATCACACAGAGGTCAAAGCAGATAGGGCACCCATGGGGGAGGCAGGGGGCAGAGTAAGTGAGTGAGAAAGAGACAGATAGACAAACCGTGAGAGAGAGAGATTGAGAGTGAACAGGTATAATTTCTGAAGTGTTTTCTCCTTGTATCAATTAGACAAGCGGATGAGAGAAATATGCCCGAAAAGACCAACAAACCAGAAAAAAAAAAAAAAAAAAAGGTATGACCTTGAGTTCGGCTCCTGTGAGGCAGGAGAAGAAGAGCGCGATGGAGGGAGGAGGAATGGCGTGATTAGGGTTGGAAGGTAAAGAGGTCCACTAATTGAAATGAAGAGGGACAACATTATTCAGCAGCGCCAGTCAAGAGGCTGTTCAACTGCACAACAGTCTGATTGAACAACACAGAAGAGAGACTAAGAGATTTTTGAAAATGAGAGAAAGAGTTTGGAGATAGAACGAGACCGAGGAGGGGGGACATGGGTACGCAATTTACTCCAAAAACGAGACAAGGACGAGAAAAAAAGTGCAGAGCGCCGCTTTTTTTATTTAACATAATGTGGCTTATACACACAGTTAACTTAACTGTTGCGGTGTGGTAAACAAGGCTTTTCCACTGGAGCCATTTCAACACATTGCCGCCAAGTCATGTTGGTGGATGTTTCAAAACTCCCTCTCCACTTTTGTTTCATCCCTTCTAGCTGTCCACCCCATTCATTCCTCCGTCAAGCTCCTCCACATCTACTTATAATCCCTCCTTCCTAATGAGACATGTTAAAAAAAAAAAAAAAAAAACACACCCCATCATTCTTGGCAGAAAAAAGGGCCTGGTGTTGCAATTACACCCCCTCTGCCACCCTCACTCCCCCTCTCTCCGCCTGCCGATCCACCCCAAAAAAAGAGCTAAGGATGTCGAAAGATGGATAATTTCCCCTAGGTACAATTTAACTGTCACTTTGCGTTGCCATTTACTGCGGCGCACAGCCCTGTTAATGTCCCCAACTTTGCATGTCAGCCACTTTCCAGCCAATTAAGCCCTGAAAAAATAACGAGCGCTTTGCTCGGTGGAAACCTGAAGGATTAGACAAGGAAGCTCATTTCATCTCACTCCCTCCTTCTTTTTCTCCCTCTCCGTCCCCTTCTTTTGTTCGGGGGAGATCGGCAGGCCTGTTATCAAGCCACTGTCCTCGCGTGGGGGAGGACGCGGTGTCGAAGCGCAAATGAGACCGTGATCATGACACCACTAGCCCGCTGTTACACGTGCTGAAGAATGGCACTTACTAATGTTCACGCCAATACCCACACACTCATTATTTTTGCTGCTCAGGGGCAGTCAAACAAGCTGACAACACAATATCTGACATATTATCACCTTATAAAGTTGATGTGTCTTAGCTTACAGCCAATAGCATTTACACATCCAGAAGACAGACAGACAGCAGCATTAGGATTCATTTGGAGTGGTGTTTCTGGCCACATGACCAATTGAAGTCCAACATCCACTCTCTGTTTACCTCCCTATCAAATATCTCTGAGAAATATCTCTGGCTTTTTGCTGCTAAATGTTCCATTTCCTTTACCAGCTAGACAACAACTGCTTGCTTGCCGTTTGGTGGTGGTGTACAGCTAAAACCAGTTGCCTTCTGCAGCAGGAAACAACAGTGATTAGAGGGGCTGGAAAATCAAAACAAGGAGCTAAATGAGGCTGTGGGCAACTGCAAAGACGATCCAGATAGCAAAATGAAACTTCTGGCCCAACATATACCTGTGTCGTTGGCCCGAGCCTGGCCCACATGATTCCACATCTGGGCCGATTCCGCTGTTATCCTCCGGTATTTTGTCTCACAGCTGCAAGAATTTCTGTGTGTGCCAGAATTGGTCCAGATGAGGAAGTACCATCTGAGATTCACGCTGTATATGAGCCAGATTCGGGCCAGAAGAAATCAATGCATATGTGTCAAGTATGGCCCGGATTTAATCTGCTATCTGGGTAGTGAATATCCTCTGTGCTTCAGTGACTATGTTCACAACAGACAGTCAATGTTTTACGTACAAAACTCTGATTAGTTCCCTTTAAGATCACAAGTTCAGCACTTAATGGAGCTGTGTTGAGCTGGAGTTTCATCATCTCTTTTTCTTTGTTATTCACCAATCTTTTCCTCTGCTTGTCTTCTCATTTACTTCACCTGGGGCTGCTTCCATTCATCTATGGAAAATTAAATTTTTTTTTCTCTTTTTGGACTCACTTAAACTCCTTGTACGGAGACAGCAGAAAAGAGTGGGAGTGAATGAGGTATTTTCCTCTGAGCCACTCATCTCTCGTCAGCTCTCTACCCTCCTCCTTCTCCACCTATTCTATCGCCACCGTTGCCGCCTTATGATACACGTCCTGCCAGCTCTTCATTTTGTTGGACTCATTAGCATTTCCTGTCGCTAATCATTTCCATAAGGATGTGGCAACCTTAGCTAGCTGCCAGCTAGCATAGTAGTGGGTTAGCACACACAATACCGAGCGAACGGGCATGATGGCTAACGGGGCGGTGCGTATGATGGGCTGTCAAGGGCTAATCTGCCGGAGAAGTGTTCATTAAGTCATTAGCGCTGACGCGGCGATGAGACGGATGCAGGCGGGAGTGATGTCTGCTTTGTCCTCTTTTATCGCTTCCCCTCCGTCCCTCCTCCTCTCGACTGTCTGTTTGTCCGCTGACTGACGGAATGAAAAGGTGGAGACGAAGGGATGAAGATAAAAGATAAAAAAAGAGAAGAACAGAGACGAGAGAGACAACTGGAGCATATAAGTCAAGTGTTGTGGTGCTCAAACCTGCCCTGAGGCTTGGCTGAACCACTGCTGGAGCTGCTTTACATTCTTCACTGTTTCACACATTTTATACAACTTCTCAAGAGACACATTTGTAAAATGATTAATTTCCAAAAGACCAACACTGAGTGTTTCATGATGAAACTAAGAATATCAGAGCCTTACAAGTCATTTTGTTGATGCCAATGAAAACTGAAGCAAATGAAAAGAAAAACTGATGATTAGTGTCATGGCTGTGATTAGTTTCACTCTGCGAAGCTGCAGTTACAACACAAGACTTTCTGACAGAGCTTATTTACTCGTTATTCATCTAAGCGCTTTCAAGGCTATTCAGTGCCTGAAACCGATGTTTGAGATGAGCCAGTCAGTCATTATGCGACTCCTGCAGAGAGAGATCTGTTCAATCAAAGCTGGTTTAGACAGTGAAAAGGAGAAGAGCTTCAATAAAGATGTGCATTGTTTATGGAATATTAACAGTCCAAATCTATCCAACGTTCAGGTGAAGTGGACCACTCTGTCTAATAAACTTTATCTGCACATCAGTTTTGTTGACTATTTCCAAGTCTTAACAACCAACCAGCTAAAAAACAAATGTAGCAACAACACAAGACAGATGATGATGAAAGAAGAGCAGCAGCAAGCTTGTTCACTTGTGTTCATTAGTGTATGTTCACTGCAGGATCATTTGGAGGAAGTACAACTGGCACTTGATTTGTGAACATGTGTATGTGTGTGTGTGTGTGTGTGTGTGCGCGCACATTTTGGCTGCTGTTGATGACCCAGAAGTAAATTAGCCTGCTAATCTCACAGAGGCAGTGATTAACGAGTGAACCTGGAAACTCTGTTTGTGCCAGAGACCAGACTTACAGCAAAACAAACAGCGGCAGGGGAGCACCAGAGTGTGTGTGATAGTCTGAGCTGTGTGTGTGTGTGTGTGTGTGTGTGTGTGTGTGTGTGTGTGTGCATGAGCTTCATTTGCAAAGGTCTAACTCTGCTGCAGCATGTACACTAGAAGTAAACAGTGTGTATGAAAGCATGTGCAGGTCATGTGTGTGTGTAGTGGCGGGCCCCTAACGGCGCACTGCGTGCCTGTGTTAAATCCAGCAATTAGTGCTCTGTACATAATTAACATGCTAATGAGCTGATCTACTTAAAAGCTGCTCTGACAAATAGAACACACACACACACACTGAATAACACACACACAATCTGAATAGAGTTGAGGGGTGGGGCAATACCAGTGACCCCACAGCCAGTGTTTGGTAATGGTAATTTGCATATTTGTATTATGGGAAGAAGCATCGATGGCCATCTCTCACCACACATACACACACACTTCCACCTTGGAGTATAGCAGTGGGTGTTTCAGGAGATCAGGGGTGGGGGCTCATGGGAGAGGTTGCAGCTGGTGAATCCTCAAACAAACAAAACCTGGCTCTAACAACACACACACACATAAATGTGCAATTTCCACATCCTCTCTCTGTCTGAATCGCTGACCCAGAATGTAACCTCAGCTATGATCACAGGGAGGGATGAGTGACTCATTGAGACACACATACATACACACACCTGGCAACTGGATTTGGCTGATGAAGACACAAATATGACAACAACACTGAGCTTTTTGGCTGCTTAGTGAAGAACTTCAAAAATAAAAAAAATGATAGGATAGAAATAAAAAAATAAAAATGTTTCAACATTAATTCTGCGAGCACATGAGCAAAGTGTGTTCGTCTGTGTGTGTGTGTGTATGATTGTTTAAATCAGTGTCATTGTGACTGGTGACCGTCGTACCTCTCCAGGTAGGCAGTGATCAGAGGTGAACAGAGATTGGCGGAGGGCTTGGTCAGACCAAGGGTAAAGATGGTGTCCTGCAGCTGTTGGATGACAGGCACGTCGCCTTTGGCCGCTAGGGCGTTGAGTGTGTGGAAAAGCATGACGACGTGTGCGTCAGTTATTGCCACCTCCTTCTCTTTCATCTCCTTCAGGATGTCCACCGCCTCTGTGACGGAGGGAAGATGAAACAAACACACAGAAACTGTCATTGTTAAGAAACAAACTCTCAACACGCGTGACGCTTTTGGTAAGATGAGGTGTGAGAGACTTTCAGCCTCTCTATAAAAAGATAAAGTGACGGTGAGACGGATTTAGAAGTAAAGACAAAAGGATGAACGAAAAGAACAAAAGACAAGGAGAAAGAGAGATACTGCAGAGAGATGAGGAGAGAGACAGCGAGAGGTGGGCAGAGCTTGGCTGAGAGAAGAGTAGGGTGTGTGAATATGATAAAAGGCCCCTTTAGCTAATTCCATGTGGGGAAAACAAACCCATATTAAAACAGCATTTTGCGCCCAGCGGGGATGAAAATCCAACCCCGTATAATGCCAACTCTGCGCTAATTGCTACTTGCGGTTTTCTAAACGAGACTACAATTACCAGACCCCTACAATGGAGGCCGGCTTTTTGCCGTGGCCATGTGGAAAGCACTTGGGGGGCTAAATTATAGGTATGTGGCGACAAGGGCCCACAGTGGCCCCAGTGAGACCCCGGTAAGCGGGCTGAGGGGTGGATCGGTTTGGTCAAGTCCAGCCAGTAATGGAGGGCTTTTTACTGGGCCACGCGCCCATCTGGCCAACACTAGGGGCTAAATGGTGAAAAGGGAGAGCGTGTGTGTATGTGTGCATATGTGGTGTATCAGAGTAAGGTAATTAAGATGCGTTTACTGTCTATTTAGACAGCTCCTAATGGGCTGACAGCGATACAGCCGCTCTCCACCACAGATACTAATCTATACAGCATGACCAAGAGGAATGGAGGAAATGGAGAGACGCAGAGACACAGAATACATTTGAATAATGTGCATTAAGCCAGTCCTCCAACTGCAGGCAATACTGGCACCTTAAAATTCACTCAACGAAAATCCTTGCTCCTTATGTCGGTGAAATTTGTAGCAAACGCAGACACAAAAGCAGGAAAACAAATAAAGTTAAAGTGAACAATGTGGGTCTAACGATACTAACACCTAAGTAGCTGGTAATATAACAAAACCCCTAACACAGGAGTGTCACTCTCTACTGGGAACACACACACACACACACACACACACACACACACACACACACACTTGTGGGATGAGGGACAAGGCCACTGGTGAGTGCTTTGGCATCCTAATTTCAGTCTGTCTCTCCATCTCTCCACCTCTCTGTGCCAGTTGTTATGGCGATGGGAACCAAAGGCTGTCAGAGATTTAATGGGACAGGGGAAAATAGAGGGAGGAAGGGTGGCGTAAGGGTGACTAGCAATGGAGGAAACACTGCTAAAGGGAGGACAATGAGCGAGGGGTGAAGCTTGTCAGAGGTAAAAGTTTGGTTAGCTGGGTGAGGGTTTGACATGAGTGATGAAGAAAGGAAGAGGGCAAACCTTCAAGTTACTGGCAATATATGCATCTCAAAGGATCACGACATTAGAACATTGTGCATTCAGAAAGTCTGAGGCTCCGACTCCCCATTTCCTCTAGTATGCTGCCATTTAGTTGATCCTTCAACAGAAACAGACATTACCCACTTCACAGTAGGCATGACGTAAAAAAAGGACTTCTGCTGTCAAAGCCTAGAGTGTTGGAGTTAGTCAGACCCTAAAGTGTAGAGTAAACTCAGATTGACCTACAGCCATTCATGCAGCAGGTTTTGCTGCCACTGTGGAGAAGAGTTCCCAATGTTTGGAAAGTCTTGCAGCTTCTATACAGTCAGGACAGATCCAGATGTTCTGTTAATTGTGTTACTGTATATTATCTTAATGTGACAATTCATTTACATGATGCCTACTCTGTTATTTTCTATTTAGTACTTACTTCAGCAACAGGTGCCAACACAGTGGGGCTGTCTGATAACTGAGGTCCAGTTACATCTGAATCAATAGTGTAAACAGGGAGAGGAAGATGACGAGCTGGGCTTTAACTAAACTGGAAAGTGGACATTTATAAAGGTATCTCATGTCATTTTTAAACAATAGCATGAACAAACTCCAACATCAAAACACTAAAATTCCTGTACAAAAGGTTTCAAAGGAAAACAATCTGACCAAAGATGGCGGTATCACATTTAAACAATTGCCCTGTAATGAGCTGATCTGTTGTCAAGTGTGTGCTGTTTATCAGCTCAGATGCAACTTATTCTCGCTCTCTGACTCTCTCTGTCTTTCTCCATGTCTCCCTCCCTCCCCCTTCTATCCATACCTCTCTCCATCAGACTCTGACGGACCCGCTAATCACTGAGACCAGTGGCTTGGAGTTGATCTGCCCAAATGGAGCTACACTAGCTAGCATCGCTCCGTCCACCGTCCAAACCCCCCCCACCCCCTCCACATACCACCTCCATCTCTCCCTTTATCCGTCCGTTTAGACAGTATGCATATCCATCAGCTCAGCCGAGCATCGTGGCCAGCAAAGCGAGCCAGTCCACACACGCACACACACACACACACACACACACACACACACACACACACACACAGAGGAGAGGGAGGGAGGCAGACAGGCCAGGTAAACAGACATCACACAGCCCAATGGTTCATCTAATGTTCCATGACTTGACTGCTAGTGATGTCTCTTTCCCAAAACAGACACACACACACACACACACACACACACAACTCCACAACTACCGAAAGCCAGAACAAGTTGTATTTACCAAAGTGGGAGAATGGACGGATGAAGGCAGAGGGGCAAGGGCAGGTCAAAGAGATGCTTGCTGATAGATGAGAGTTGTATTTAAAAAAATAAAAAATGGAGGGTGAAAAGCAAAGGTAGGAGGAGGTGAGGGGGGGTGTTCAGGGTTCTGGAGCCCTTGTTGGCATGTTCACTGGGTCTCAGGATGGTTAGACTAAAGGAGGCACTTGTTCTGCTATGGGTTATACAAAGAAAGTGATCAAACAATATGGTACTTGTATCAGCAAGTTTTATGAAGTTTGAACCCAACCCAAAGATTCAAACCCAACTCAAGGCCAAACAAGCATTTTTACATGTTTAGGGGCAGCTTTAATTTTGTGTATTAATTTTTTAACGCTACATTTATTTTCCACTGCCCCTAAATGTGTGAGATTACAATGCCCAGTAAAAAGCATTAACCATCATGTTAAGTTTAGCACTTGGCACTGGTGTTGACAGTGGCAACAGTTACTGAGCTCCTACAAAGATGAACACTGATGAACCCCAAATTTATTGTGTGAATTTAACAGAAACTTTGATGCGTATGATTCGTGTCTTCCAAAGGTTAAAGTTAAAAAATGACCAAACTTACAGATGTCACATTGGATGTTATGAAGTGATGAATCTTCCCTGAATCTTATTCAACTCAAAGGTTGTCACAACAGTTGCTGTATCAGTGGTAGCTTATGAAGCAGAAACTATTCACAGCACCAGTGACACAAGTTAATCATTATATTGATTATATTTGGTACAGTATTTGTGGAAGCGAGGAAACTTTGGATAAAATCATGTTAATTTATAATTCATGATAACAATTTTAAAATGTGTATGGGGCAACAATGGGAGGTTACATTTTTTTTCCCTATGCCGGATAATGTGTGAGTGAATGCAGCCTAATATGGGGCTCAACATTTTAGATCTCACAGGTACATGTTATGGTTTTGAGAGGAACCTCGGGTACTTAACCTCTTCATAAATGCACTTATAAATGTGTTGCTTGATGTAATGCTTCTGCTGTTCCATGCTTGTATTTCATGTAAGTGTGTGTGTGTGTGTGTGTGTGTGTGTGAGGTCTGACATGATAGCTGAGTGACTAGCCGAGGAAAAGTAAAAAGATTAAAAAGAGAGGAGGTCATTACAAGGGATTGTAGAAGAGGTGGAAGGAAGGTGACGCAAGGATAAAGTCAAAAGGATGAACCGCTGCAAAAACAAAGTTGCCTGGTGAGGTGGGATGGGATGCTTTGAACCAAGGGCGAAACAACAAACCATTAGAGAGGGCGAGAAATAAAGCAAGATGCCAGGAAACGTGATCTTCAACTGGGCCTGGTGTGTGCTGGAAGCCAGGCAGACCAGCGTCTGGGTGGGGACAGGCTAACATCAAGGTTAGCCATGTGTGCTAATGTGGGTGACAAGCGTCCCCCTCCATATGCACACTCTGGCTAATGGCAAATGCGTTAGCACTGCCTATACACACCCCAACACACACACACACACACACACACACACACACACACACACACACACAGATGGACACACCAACCGTCGAGCCCACCAAATGCCTTTTGCTTGAATTCACATGCAAATTTGCGTGTCACTGTGTGTGTGTGTGTGTGTGTGTGTGTGCACTTGTGTGAAATGCTCAAGCACTTCGGTAGACATGATCTGCCATTAGCATCAAGGCGGATTTCAATAATTCTGCAAAAATACACACAGTCCTGTAATTTTCCCCCTCTCTCATTTCTAACTGACGTGGGTGTGTGTGTGTGTGTGTGTGTGTGGGGGGGGGGGGGGGGGGGGGGGTGACACGCTTGGAGACAGAACAGGGGAGAGAGGGTCAGATAGAGAGACAGAGATACGAAAGCCAGAGAGAGAGTGAAGGAAGGGGAGGAGAGGAGAGGAGAGGACAGACAAGGGAAACATTTTGCCTGTCATTGTGTGCAAAAAGCAGAGCGGCAAAACTGATGGTAATTGGGTCTTCGATGGGCTGAAGGAAACCCACCGTAGCATTCTGGAAATGGCTGGCTAATGTGGTTTGAGGGAGGGAGAAAGACAGATTGTGACAGAGTTGGTGACACACACACACACACACACACACACACACACACACACACACACACTACACACACACACACACACACACACACACACACACACACACACACACACACACACACACACACACACACACACACACACATCTGTAGGCCTTTTTAAGTTCAAGCCTGATCTCCTTTGATCCGGCTTACTGTCAGAGAAAAAGTAGTGAGGAACTAAGAACTAGTGGGATTAGTCAATTAATCAACAGACACAAAAATTCTGATAATCAATTAATTGTTTTCAATGCTTTAAGCTAAAATTATATCATCTTTGGGGTTTGGACAGTTGGTCGGAAAAAAAACAAGCAGTTTGAAGAAGTTACTTATTTTAACTACTTACCAAGACACTCAAAAGACTGAATGATTAATAATGACAACCCAATAATCAAAGCGGTAATTTGCTGCAGCCCTAGAGGAACTTACCCTCCACTCTTTCATTCTTGGAGAGCACCTTGACCAGGGCGATGTATTTATTGGTATCCAGCACTGCTGATGAGTCCTTACGACTTCTAAAGACAGGGACAGAGAGAGGGCGAGTGACAGATTAGATTAATGTAGACCACTTACAGTAATGCAACTCATCTACTGCACTGTCTGACTTCAGTTTGATGCCGAAACCGGGCGGTGAGCGACGAGAAAAAGAAACAAGGGAGGAAGACGGGAGAGTTTCCTGTGTTCCAGCCAGTCAACAGAGGGTCCGGACCCTGCATTAATGTCTCCCCTAATACCACTCAAGTTAAACTTTAATGGCCTACTACTGGTCACAGCATTGCCTTATGCGTAGGTGTGTGTGTGTGTCCTGCTCCACTCACAGTTCCCTCTTCAGGTTGAGCGCCTCCTCCACATTGTTGTGGTGACAGCACTGGTTGATGAGGATGGTGTAGCTGCTGACTGTCACCTCCTCCTCGTACTGCTGCTTCAGCTCAAGGGCGCGCTGCAGGTTCTGATCGCAAAACAAAATGACAAATCTCAGGGGTAAACGCGCAGACAAAGCGACTCATTTTCACGAGGAAGAGGAGGTTGTGTGAGGCCGAGTTGTCCAAAACAAATCCTACCTCCTCCACACAGAGAGCCTGGATGACCTGTTTGAGAACGGAGCCTAAAGGTTTGTTCTCTGCTTTCAGCTCAGCCAATTTGCTCTCAAGCACCTGCACATTAACTCCAATTCCCTGATGGAGACAGAGAGATGTTCATCAATAACTACATACACCACCACATGCGTACATGAGCCTGTGCTGATAGACACTCGTCTCCACAAGTTCTGTTTTTTAGTTTAGATTACTCACAGATGAAAAGGAGATTCTTACAAAATGACACACGTTAAAGGAAACTATGAGGCATTTGTGGTGCTGTATTCATTAACAATTTCAAGCAACACAAATCTTTCCAACAGAGAGAGTAAATATCAATTATGTTGCATCACACTGCCGTACTTACAGTAGCCTGGGGAACAGCTGAGCCAATGGACATTCTGTCTTTGGGATCCACCAAAGTGATCACATCCTAACACACACACACACACACACACACACACACACACACACACACACACACACACACACATATAGAGTTAACAGTTGGCAACATCTGCATCATTAGGGCGACAACAATAACAGTACACAATGTACAATGCATGAAGCCTTTGGCTGTTTGTGGTTCGTCGATTACACTGATGCTTTTCTCAAGTGACTAAACCACAAAACATTCAGAGTAAAAACTGAACTATATGGAGGTCAGGCTCTGTACCTTGATGAGCTCTGGGATGTGGTAAGACTGCAGAAGGTTCCTGATGCCTCTGTAGATGTTTAATGAAATTGTTATGTTCTGCAGAGAGAAGAGACAGAAGGAGGAAAAATCATCATCATCAAAGCACCGATCAGCTCTCAGCACAACAGGAGCTCAACCTGTTGAGTTTCGTGTGTTAAAAAGCCAAAGGTTGAGACCAAAGTGAACAGCAGCTGAAGATAGTCAGCACAGTTAGTAAACTAAAGAGGCTTTTAATAACCTTAACAGGGTTTCTCTTCTCTTAGCTTAATTTAGAAGCTGTCACAGAGATTGCAATTTCTGGAGAAATGACTGCTGAAAATAAAGTTGCATTTATGTGCCGCTGGAAACACTGGCATTTAAACTGGACAACATACAAAATGTTTTGGTGAAATCCGTTCTGCAGATTGTTGACTTTTTTTTGGATGAAAAAAGAATCAATGGACAAATGACTATATGATATGATAAATAATGAATGACAATGAATGACAAAATTGATAAGGAAAATAATCATTAGTTGCAGCTCTGATGTTTACTCAGAGGATTTTGCTGTTGTTCTGCTTTCTGTTAAATACACACTGTACTTCAATAGACAATGCTGATTCATATTAATCGTTCATCAGCTCTACCACGATAAACACTTATTGAGTGTAATCAACGAGCCAAGCGGGGTCCTTTCAGACACACAAGCTCCTACTGAGCTCACACTGATCCGTCAAGCATGAGTGTTTCACTATGAAATCAAGAGTCCGACTTGGCAAATTCGCTCCACAGCATCCTGGATAACATGATGGATGATACTATTGGTTTCTGATTAAAGCTATATTGTTTGATGTCTGATTTAAGGGCAATTCTGTGCCTCCAAAAAGGTTCCACGCTGGACCAGGAAACTGCTTCACTGACCAGCCAGTTAAGACGTGACCTTTCACCAAAGAGTGTAAAACATGATTTAATCTTCCACGACATGTCTGGATGGCCCAACTCAAACCTTCACTCTTCAGAAATAGAGCAGAGGGAGGAGGTTGTGTGAGTTTATTCTGTAGTGTGTGTGTGTGTGTGTGTGTGTATATTGTGAATAATCCGAGTCTGATTACACACTGCAAATCATCTCAGATCAGAGTGTGTAAGCTCCTTTAAAGCGGGAAGGTTATGAATGAACGGGATATGCAGTATATTGGTGTATGAATGTATGGTGTGTGTGTGTTTGTATTTGTCACCTCATCAGTGAGCATGTGTATGTGTGAGTGTGTGTATGCTTGTGTGTGTGTGTGTGTGTGTGTGTGTGTGTACCTGAGCTTTTAGCTGATTGAAGAATTTTCTCAGTTTGTCTTCCTGTGCCTGCACCTCCTGCTCTGACATGTTGTCGATCAGACTGTACAACAAGAAGGATACCCCTTCTGGACGGGATGGAAACACACACACACACACACACAGAGAGAGTGAGCAGTTGTCTTGGGAATAAACTTCATTTGCCACTGTGTCAGTCACTGCATCCATTTGTGCATTTATACTATTTTTTTCTGTAACCTCTGCAGAGTGTGTGTTTGTGTGTCCTTTCTGCTGACAGAAGCTGCTTTCGGGCTGCAGTGTGAGTGAATGTGCGACGGCTGGCAGTGACAACCTCCTCTTATTTCAACTCTCTCTCTCACACACACACACACACGATCGCAGATGTTGTCTAACGGGATGTGACATGGATAACAGTCTCCATCGCTCCCACCAGCAAACACACACACCAGTCTCAGGGCTGGGGACTCTCTGTGACACACACACTGATGCAGAGCGACATTAACACTCCACAAACACATACACACAGTCAGACCAGAGATGCAGTCCCACACTGACACACACAAACACACTCTCATACACTTTAACTACTCAGCGCTGTGTCAGCAGCCAGGCTCTATTTCCTCCGACAGAGAGAGCACGTCTTTCACTCTCACACACCTGCACATAAACACACACACAGGCTTCATGGCAAGGAGTGGACTGGTCAGCAGTCTGCTGCTAATGAAACTGAACACACACACACACACAGGGCATTTTTCTGTCATCTGACTTATAGCTGGAAAGTGACTGAGACACACACTGCAGAGACTGCAGTCTGCAAGTTTGATTACTGATATGTGATAGATACGAATAGATATACATACACACACACACACACAGATATATATTCCGACTTGCCTGTGATAACAGTGTAAAAATCTTTCCTTACCAGCAGGATTGGAGCTTTCATTGGAGAAGCGCTCGTCTTTGTATAAGAGCTCAGTAATCTGGAAAGAAGAAAAACACGGTACATTAACACTGTAGTTTATAGAAGGTATGAGACAGAATTAACATCACAGACCGGGGTACTGGCTAAAGATGCAGTTTAATCTCATTTGATATTAACAATTATGTCTTATTTTACATTTTTGCAAACTATCTTGCATAAAATTGCCCCTTGAGGAACAAACTAAGTAGATCCATCCTCTACATTTCTTTGTCTGTATGCTCACTGTGCCGTAAGGAGATTTAGATAAAAAGGCAGCAGATGGCATTTGTCATACTGTATATTCTCCCTAAATCTAACTTGGTGTGTAGCAGACGGTGAGAAAATAGGTTATCATAGCTATTTTGTTGTGAAGAATAAGCAAGAAAAAGCTGTTTAAAAAAAAAAAAAAAAAAAGATTCTGTGTTTTCATATATTGCACTAAACTACTTTCAAACAGGGAAACCCTGTTCGTTTGTTCTGACACATCATTCTCCGCAGACACTCAAACGCTGTGGGCACACTCAGGTCTTACCTTCACCATGCTCTCCACATCGTCAGACCTGCAGGGGGCAGTAGAGGACAAGACATGAGCACCCGCTCCACATGCATCACCAGCAGCTCAACGAGACTCCAACATGTCAGGGTTAATTCATTGGCTCATAAGCATGGGTACGTTTTGCTTTTAGACCGCAAAACATAAAAGAACATTTACATTTCTGAAGGTACATCTCCTAAAGAGGCACCTACCCCACACACACACACACACATTCAAAGAGGATTTATTCTCCTCACCCATCTTTTTCTCCAACGCTTATTCCAATGAATGTTTCTCCAGACCTAGAGAATTTTAATTAACTCTCAGTTTCACTCTTTTGCATGACTTTTCTCCCCCATAAATGATCACTCTAAGGTTGAAAGCTGTCAAATCACCGTTTTGGGAAATGCCTCGAAAATATACCGTTTATTGTCGACTGGTCGTGCTGTCGGTGAACTGGAGATTTTAATTTAATCTGTCTAGATATAAGCAACAGGTAATCATAGGGTGTAACTACTGTTTTAAATCTCTAAGAATACAGTAGATAAAAAATGTATTTATATTTTAATTATTGTATTTTTCTCCCAATTCCCTATTAGTATTAGAATTCCCTAAAATATTTGAGCTAAATGAGTTTAGATGAATAAATGAATTTTCTGACAGTAATGGTATTTGATTTAAGTAACCATAATACTGAGTGTGTCATGCTGACATAGCTACTGAACTGACAGTGTAGTACAATACCAAACAGCAAGAAAAAGCGACAGATTTCTCAGTCTGACACCCTCAATCCCACAGTACAAGAGAGAGGAGAGACGGCAGCACAAAAGCCTGGGAAACCACAAAAGACACATTCTCGTGCACAAAGACACGAACACACACACACAGGCTAAATGATGACAACGTGTGACATTTCTGGCGTCGTCAGCTAGTTGGTGGAGATGAGGAGAGACGGGGAGATGAGAGGAGAAGAGAGAAGAGGAGGTCTTTAATGATTAAATTATCCCCTGACCTTGTCTTTGACAGGGGCAGGTCCCGCATTGCAATGACACGGCACTCATGTGCACACACGCACACACACATACTCCACAAGTGACAAGCCCAATTACGACCCTGTCAGGCAACCTAACAGTCAGAAAGTGTAAATGTGTGTGTGTGTGTGTGTGTGTTCATGCAATGTGAGCAAAGCAAATGGAAGAGAGGAAGCGGATTCAGCCGCAAAAAAGACAGACAAACAAATAGTGGATATACTGTCTTAAACTATCGAAAGAAAAACCTGCAAAGATACACACACACACACACACACACACACACAATCTGGTTATCTACATTTAGTTGTGGTTTTGAAACAAGAAACTCTTGCTTCAACCATCTGCTGTTAAAACCACCCCCATTTTTTCCTTGAAAATACAAGCTGCAGAGGAGCTCTCAACTTAAAAGAAAAAAGAAAGAAAAGGAGTTGTTTTATTCTTATTTTTCACATGTCCTTGAACTAGAGTAGTTCACTACTAAAGTATAAAACTATGCTGCCAAGAGCAGAACATTCAGTGCTACTATTAATTTTATGACCTTCAATGTTTTAAAAGGATACATTGCACCACATAATCTTTATTTCATCCTTCGTGGTAGTTAGATTATCAACTGTTAATTAACACGTCAGCGGCAACAAAGAACGTACTGGCTGAATGGAAATTTCAAAGTTGGGCTCAACTGAGCGTATTTGGGCTTTTTAGTGGAAGAAATAACTTTGAGCCCTGCAGACAAGTCAGCACTTTTCTCTTTGACTCACCTCCAGCCTCACTCAGGGGCCGGAGTGTTTTTGTGTGGGTGTGTGGTGTTAAACTGTAAATATTCATAAACACCCTTTCAACAAAAGCCCAAGGGTTAGACCCTGGTCCTAAGGCTAACTGTGTGCGTGTGTCTGTGCGTGTGTGTGTGTGTGTGTGTGTGTGTGTGTGAGAGAGAGAATGTAAGAGAGAGAGAGTGAGATCAGTCTGGGGGTTTGGGTATATGGGGCAGTGCTGGGCATCTGCTAATTTACATATCTCCCACGGTGCTTTGGGGGCGAGAGCTGAGGGATGACGGCCTCCATATGCATGAGGCATTGTGCGTGTGTGTGTGTGTGTGTGTGTGTGTGTGTGTGTGTGTGTGTGTGTGTGTGTGTGTGTGTGTGTGTGTGTGCGTGATGGAGTGTTTTTTTTCCCTGCAGCTGCCCATACACAGACACTGTAGATGGTGTGATAGGCTGCACATGTCATATTCGTAGCATATGCCACAGTGACTGCCAATAGTGCTACAGGCCTCCCTTAAATGCCAGTCAGGAGTTATGAGGCAAAATATGGAGAAATGTAGAATATCAAATGATTGAGGACACATTCAGACACAGACTGTGGTCTAACTGACTCACTTTCTGAAGCCCAGGATGAGGCTGCCACGGAAATAGCTGAGATCCAACGAGGTGAAGGAGGGATCCGACACTGGAAGTGACAAACAGAAAGTGATTACAGAGAAAGAGGACAGACAACTTGTCTTCATATGGATTGATCGATGTGATTACTACCAGGCAGTAGAAAAGGGCTATATCTTCAGGCCTCTTATTTTGACCACTAGAATTACCACATTGTGGTTGTATGCCTTTGCCAACCAGCCAAGTTGCAGGAAATATGGTCAAAATCTCTCCCTCTGTTCCTGAGTTACAGCACTGAATAACGGCCGGAAGTGTTTTAGCAGAACACATTATGATGTCACTGTCAAGTTGAACTTTGACCATTGGGATATAAAATGTCATCACTTCATTTTCTTTCTATCAGACATTTGTGTTAAATGATGTCAAGGTGTTACTGAGAATGGGACGGACGTATGGATCAACCTGAAAACGTTATGCCTCCAGCCCTGGCTGTCGCAGGTACGGAGGCATAACAAATGAAATATACAGCCTCGTTTTAAAGTGTCTCAGTCACTTCCCCAATCCTGAGTTTCCCAGCCTGTTTCTTTAATCTGCATGCCCAAACCCAAGAAATATAAAGTAAAGAAGATTTCCATGGCCACACTCAATGACTATTTCATTATCAATTATTCTACTAATTCTTTTTTAGATCTGGTATGAGGGGCCGGGGGTGTAATCTAATTAACTGTGAAAAATGCCAGTTCCAGTGCCCAAGGTTACATCTTAGAAATGTTTGAAGTCCAAAAAGCCAAAAGAGTTCAATTTAAAATGATATAAAACCGAAAAAAAAAGCTGCAAATTCTTTAACTTTGAGAAACTGAAAGCAGCAAGGGTTTGGCATTTCTTGCTTGAGAAACTTTTTGAGGGAAGCATTTTGAGGGTGCGCTCTGTTTCTGGCAACACTGCATTGCGAGGAGAGATATACTAAATGTTGAAAAGCGCTGAAGACTTTCTTCATGTGAGGTGAAGAAATCCATTGGGGACACTGTGAAATACATAAAAGGAAAGAGAGCGATGTATATGAAAACCAATGGTGGATGTTTGAGACTAAAACGAGATGAAAGACAGAAAACAAGAAGAATCATCCATTATTTAACAGCCTCCTCTATCCCGTCCCACTGCCAGTTGAGGCGCCTCTCGTTCTCGCTCTTTACATATTCACACAGACTAATCTCTTAAAAGGCCTGATGAGCACAGAGGAGTAAGTGGGCAAGTGTGTGTGTGTGTGTGTGTGTGTGTGTGTGTGTGTGTGTGTGTGTGTGTGTGTGTTTGTGTATTTGTGTTAACACTGCGCCGATTAGCCTGCAGGCAAAGCAGCAATTTTTATGATGATGGGTGCTCAAGATGCAGTAGAGCTTCTTTGGAGTGTGTGTGTGTGTGTGTGTGTGTGTGTGTGTGTGTGTGTGTGTGTATAGACTTACACAGGGGGTACACTTGGGCCAGGTTGGACACAGCCAATGAGCAAACCTTTAAAGACAAGAAGGCCACAGACTGCAGGAGGACACCTGCATCCTAAACAGAGAGAAATGCCCTTTTTGTCAGCAAAAGTTTTTCACTTGCCACATGTGAACACACAAACACTGACTTCTGGACTTTACTTGGAAGGCCTGTTGTGCTGCCTCTATGCTGGAGAAGGCGGGTACGACGTAGGTGGTCAAAGTCTCTGCATCGGGAGACACGCCGAGTTCCTGCATGCCCTTCATCACCTCCAGCACACCTACAACACACACAAAAAGTAATTAGCATTTTATTTCAAATCACCTTGATGTCCTCCAGAATAAATTGGTAGTGACAAATGTAACTCAGTGATTCGTGACATTTGGATCAATAGTTGAGGATGAGATTAGTTTCTTGTATGTGGATCCCAAAAAAATTCAGGAAAACAAACCTTTTCCTTTGGTTTTGTTTTAACTGAATCACATGCTGCGCTTTTACAGATATGCACACTGTGCTCCATTCACTTCATGTGCAGGCCTGGAGCTGTGTAACCACTGTTTAAGTATGGGTCTAAGAAATGAGCTGGTACATACTTTCTCACACACACACACACACACACACACACACACACACACACACACACACACACACACACACACACCCCATCGACAAAATGCTAATGGCTACTTCCCTCTCTACCTTAGACTGGTGGAATACGTGTACATAAACATGCACTAGGCCTGAAGTGGACTCTTGCACAATCGCCCAGCTCTCCAGCAGAGCCCTGAGGTCCTGCCCCGGGGAAGGAGGCCAAAACAGCCACATGCATATGGAACAGCCACTCACACACACTCAATATGCCCGCAAGTATCTGTGTGTTTGTGAGTGTGTGCACATATGGAGGAGGCACTGCAGCACTTTGCATATGTCTGGGAGCGTGCCCACAAAGGACATGGGCCTAAATGAGCGCATACACGCGTCCTCATGTGTGTTCATTCTTAGTGTGTGTTGCTATGCAGTTCTAGGACAGAAATATCAATACATCTATATGCTATGTATGACAGCATACAGTGCACCAATACACCTTGTTCCCATGCGGACTTCAGCAAACTACCATGAAGTGCTTCCTTGAGTTGACACACCTCCAGATGCTGTGTTTATTTACTCCACTCTGGTTCTGAAACACACACACACACATATATACAGCTCTGTGTTTCTGCATCCTCCTGGGACGTGTGTGTTCACCTGGCGGTCTCTCTCTTTAGCTGAATAAAAGATGAGTCCGAGGCTTTTATATGCCATTAAAACCTGTGGCTGGGGCTGCATTACCCCAGGTAGGGCTACCTGAACCACTCCATCCATCCATCCAGCCTTTCCCTCCTTCCATATCACTCATTCATCTGCCCCTCTCACTATCCATCTATCCTGCTTTCAAGAAAAAGTAAACAGGCGATCCTCCTCTTTCTTCTCAATGGAGGATCCATCCGTTCTGCCATCCACCCGTCCATTCTTACCCCCTAATCGCTTTCATCCGGCCCTTTTTTTTATGAAAGAAGAGAGGGAGCACCTGCCTTCCTCCTGAATAATCCATAATCAATTTCACGGTGAGCCAGACAAACAGAAAACAAGTGAATGGAGAGCTGGACGTATAAATGCATAAGCCGCCCTTCTCTCCCTCTCTCTCTAGCGCTTTCCAGCTTCCGCACGTTAGCTTTCATGATAATCAGCACTTTTCAGTTGTCCAACAAGCATGTTTGTGTGTGTTGTTTTTTTTTTTTTTTTTTTGCAAGTCAGGTCTGTGACCAAGAGCTTTTAACCCTTCAAACCCCAAGTTGTTTTTTCTCAGTTTTCACTCCCTTTACTTACAGGCTTATGGCAAAGTGACCGCATGTCTTAGCTAAGCGGTAATAAGTCATTCTACTAAGAAATGCCACACGTTTGCCATTATGGAAAAAAAAAAGTACACATTTACACATGCCACTTTCATGTCTGTACGGTATATGAAGCTGCCACCTGCAGCCGGTTATGTTAGCACAGAGACAGGAAACAACTAGTTTGGCTTTATCCAATAGTGAAAAAAATCCAGCTATCAGCACCTCTAGTTCACTAATTAAAACTGGTGACAAAGTATAAAAACAATACGTTGTGGTTTTTACAATCCTCTGGGGTGCTGTAACTTTCTGGATGTTCTGCCGGTTGTCTGGCAAATTCTCGGTGACGACAGGGAGTCCAGAAAGAGAGCGGGAGAGAGGAAGTGCTGCAGTCGTGCCTGACACAATGATGTCTCAGTGGTCTTAACTGACTCAGCTATGACAGTGCACAAAGTCTCTGTAGTCTAATATGAACTTGCTGGAAAGAGAACTACACATAAAGGGTTCAATAAGTAAATGATGAGGAAAAACAGAAAAGATACAACAGAAAATAATATGTGGCATTATACAGTGTCATTTGTACAATTCTCCCTCTGAGTCTTCACCCCATAATCTTTATATGGAAGAAATCCTTTTTCCCCCCCGTCTGAACAGTTTACATAAGGATTCGGCACAGAGGAGAACTGAGAAGAGTAGAGGCCTCTCCAGGTTGGTCAGCATAAAGTCTGACATACCATCCGGGCAAGAAGTATCAAAGTAGTGAGTTAAGCATGGCAGTGGTCACAAGATATCATCATCAGAGTCATGTCTTCAGGTTAACTGTCACAGAGGAGAAGTCAGGACGGGGAAAAGAGAGGAAAAGAGGAGTGGAGTGAACCGGTCGCTGTCATCTCCTCCCATCCATGGACATGAGTACCTGTCACTTCTCCTTTTCTTTCTCCAACAACACCATCTGTCTCTCCATCTCTCTGTATCTATGACTGTCTGAAGGTGGACTGTGTTGGCTGTGAGGCAGCGACGGGTTGTTTATTTAAAAACAGGAGAGAATTCAAGAAAATGTCCATTTTGTGAGACAAGAAAAGCTGCAAGGTCATCCTCACTCACTGCATTGCATTTTTGTCTTTTAAGCAAGGCAATGTTTGGCTCTCATCCCAGCAATTAACAGCTGATGCTAGACTGGAGCTCATGCAGGACTGAATTACAGATTGCTGCGGTGGTGCCTCGACAGAAAGGGCTGCATTAAAGACAGAGTGAGAGGGTTGAAGATGAGGTCACATATATAAGGTAAGGTAATTGGGGGGGGGGGGGCAGACAGGAAGGAAAACAGACTGGATGAGGAAGCCTTTACATTTCCCATCACCCAAAACACACACGGCTAGAAACACTCCCTTCCTCTGCAGTCTCCCCTCCCTCTTTCTCTGGCTCCACCATGTCAGAAGTGATAAGAACGCGCTGCGTCGCAAGAACTGACAAGCGGTCACTAGCTGGCGGCAGGTGGGAAGTTCGGCCCAGCATATGCTTCTGCTAAACCCGCCAAATCCACACCTCATCAAAATGCAAAGGGATTGTTCCCATCCCCTCCCCTCCTCTCCTTACACCCCCCGGGAGGGGGGGTGGGGGTAAGGAGAGTGAAAGGGCGGAGGGGATGGGGAACAATACCCTTTGCCAATTTTGTGAGAGGGGTGTGGATTTGCGGGTAGCTGATAGCATCATGCTGGGCCGAACTTCCACCTTGCCGCCAAGCTAGTTTAGACCGCTGTCAGTTCTTGCGGACGCAGCGCTGTTCTATTCAGCTTTCTGACATGGTGGAGTCCAAGAGAAAAGAGGAGGGAGACTGCAAGAAGGAGTGTTTTAGCCGTGCGTGTTTTTGGGGAGTGGAGAATGTAATAAGGCTTCTCATCCAGCTGTTTTCACTTCATGGTCGTTGCCCCCGCGCCCCCCCCCCCATACTTACCTTTACCTTTTATGTGCTACCTCATCTTCAAACCCTCTCACTCTTGTCTGTTAAATGGCAGCCCTTTCTGTCGAGGCCACCGACCTGCATGCCAATCTGTAATTCATGTCCTGCATTGATGCTCTCAGTCTCAGCTCAACATGTTAATTTGCTCTGAGGATAACCAAACATTGCTTGCTAAAAGACAAAATGCAATGCCAGTGAGGCTGAAGGCACTGACCTTCGCCAGCAGTCCTGTCTCAAATATTCGTCTCCTTATAGTACATTTTCCTAAACTCCTGTTTTTTAACATAAACATACCCGTCGTCCTGCATTTTCACAGCTCAACACAGTCCACCTTTCAGAGCACAGTTCATAATAGTTCAGAGAGATGGAGAGCAGATGGTGTTTGTGTGGAGAAAGGAAAAGGAGGAAAGTGACAGGTACTCAGATGATCGCAAGTGGATTGGGAGGAGATGTGACAAAGCGACCTGTTCTTTCATCCTATCTCTCTTTTGCCTCTCTTTCCCCCGTCCCTGACTTCTCCTCTGTTGACAGTTAACCTGAAAGAACTGACTGAACTTGATCGTATATTCTTTTTTTTGACCACTGCCTATGCTAGACTTTTCACTACTTGATACTTCTTCCCGGACTGCCGTATGCTCAGACTTTTCATGCTGACACTAACCTGGAGAGCCTCGTACTCTTCATCTACTTCTTGCCTCGTGCCGAATCCTTATGTAACTGTTCAGACGGGAGGGAAATAGAGGAGTTTCTTCATATAAAGATTATGGGGTGAAGACTCAGAGGGAGAATTCGTACAAATACACTGTATAATGCCACATATTATTTATCTTGTTTGTGGGATCTTTGTCGGATGTGTTTTCCTCATCGAATTATACTTATTGAAACCCGTTTATTTGTTTGTTATTTTTTCCATCTCTTCCGACACAGTTCATATCTAAGGACTACGTAGAGGCACTCTCCTGGCTCGCCACTGCGTCATACGTGAGTCCACGTTCAAGGACCACGCTCGTGAGCAAAGGCGTCATTCGTGCTCAGGCACGCCACTGCAAGCACTTCGCCTCCTCCCCCTGACTCTTCTTTTCTTGGACTCCCTTTGGTCGTCCCACTTGGCCTTGAGAATTTGCCAGTACCATACCTGCGCTAGAACATTTCCAGAAAGTTACAGCAACCTGTCTCTAGAAGTGATTGTCTAAAAACGTCTACAACGTATTGTTTTTATATTCTTTTGTCATCAAGCTCTCTTCGAATTAGTTGAACTCACGAGGTGGGCTGATATGCCTTGCCCGTATTTTTTTTTCTACCTATTGGATATAAGTCCTAAACTTTAGTTGGTTTTCCTTGTGTCTCTGTGCTAATCATTACACTCGCGACTGCAGTGTAGCAGCTTTGTCCAATATACCCGTACAGCGTACATGTAAATGTTGGCCATGTGTTTACACATCGTGTACT